CAAAAATTATATCTTATTTCTATTTGTTTGGTGTAAAACAACAATCACGTATTTTGTTGAGTATCGGTTTTCGGGAGCTACGCTGAAAAAAAACGAAGAACATTATGTATGAATAAAACAATAACGATTTTAACCTATAAATTCAAAAATATGGAGATGCCTAATGAATGGTATATAGAAGAGCTTTGATGTGTGCCAATATAGACAGACAAATCCACATTGGTACCATAAAACCAGTCTAACCAGTTTTCATAGAAATAAAAACAAGTCCCAGATGCACTATTCTATGGTTCATTGTTCTCTTTCTACACAGACAGACTGTGAGAAAACAGCAGATACTCAAAATCTCCTGAATCATTAACCCGCTGTAGTGATTAGTAAGTGGTTTCCTGCACGGCTCCCAGTCCGTGAAAGCGACTAGACTCATCGAGCATTGGAAAAAAAGCCTTTGAAACGCGATCGCTACGTAGGATGTGAAATCGCGAAACATAGTAAGTGCAGTTTGTAAAAGAGGCCTGTCACCCACTGCACACTCAAGTTTCCTTTTTGGTCGGTGCTGCCTCTCGCTGAGCTAACAACAGAATCTGGGTCACATGGGCTGCTGCCAGTTTCAGCTGTGGCCATCAAAGTTTTGCTGGATCCCTGAGTTTCCCACCCCTCCTTATTCCTCGGGCCAAGACTGTGCCGGAGCTGGGCCGGAGGGGTCAGCCTTCCTCTACCCTTCGCCCCCTCCCATCACGCCGCGCTCTCTTTGTCGTCGTCTGAGCTTCAGGAAATTCAACTTCTGCTCACATCCCCCCGCGGCCCACATGTGTGTAACCTGAGATGGCTACGTTGACCTGCTCCGGCCAGACGGGCAGCCCACGGTGTTTATGCTAGAGCAGAAAAGGCCTTATCTGGAACTGATATCCTATTGACCGCTGTTTGCTCTGAAAGTGGCCAGATCGGCAGAGTTATATAAATAGACAAAACTTGAATTATACACTGGCTTCACTAATAGATGTGAGAAAAACATCACATTATTATAACAATAGATTTAGTAAGGGAAATGGAGCTCCTTGAAGAGAAATGATTTAATGACTATGGAACAACTTGTCAAACCGACCTATGTTTTTGGATATGGATTGACCATGGAGCTTAAAAAACTGATCTATTTGAACTAATATAAATTGGTTGAAAACACAAACACAAACACATCAGTTGGACATACTAGCTTAATTTAGGCTAAATTTCCCCAGTTTTTTGGCTATGTGCAACAATGCTATTCTTTTATCAATACAGGCCACCCCCAAACACTGATAAACACAACAAATGTTTTTCCGCCAGGGGAATTAATGGCCATGATTCCCAATTTAAGTCCTTAAGTGTAAGAAATGATGCCAAAGGATTCCAATGAGCACAAGCATGGTGGTACTTTCACACTGCACTAAGAGCTCTATCAATGCCCGCACTATCATGAAGAGTTGAGGGCTCTATTCAGTCTGTTAATCATGTGCTAATGCAGCGTATCGAAACCAGCGGCCACTAGACAAAAAGAGCTCCTTGTGACTGCAGGCAACAGCGGGGCCATTATATTGTACTGACTATGTTATCACAATGTATTATGGGAAACGAGCCATTTGTACACTGCACCTATGTGTACAGCATGGGAGGGACAAAGAAGCGGTTTCGGTTCAAGTGTTTGTGAATCCAGGTGTTTCAAGATTTTGATAGTATTGTCAAAACTGAGAAACATTTCAATTCAATTTCATTTGAATAGTCGTACATCACAAAAGCAGTCATGTTTGAGGACAAAGTCGTGGAAATCGGGATAACCAGGAACTTAACTCTTGGCTCAATAACTATCATGAGTTGAGATCTGCCAAGTTTTGTAGAAATTACAACAAGTGCATCAACCCAATACAGATTTCTGAGACTGTGCACTGACATTTATCATTAGTGACCTAAAAGCTATTCCACTCCGTGTTTGCGTAAGCTGCTACACACCTTTCAGTCAACTAGGATTTGTAATATCTTCCATTGAAAGTTGTTTTTATGCAAATTCCTGAGCTCAATGTTGACGATTCAGCTCCCTTCTGAAATCATCCGGTTTTCTTTATCTCTAAACAATGCTTGAAAAAGTCTTCTGAAATAGTCTCAAACTCTACTCCTCACTTTGGTAACTTCTTTAATTAAACTGGATTGACATGTGAGGCCTACGAACAGTGGCTAATCTCCTACCAGGCTAATGGAGACATAGCACACTCCCTTTCATCCCTTCCTCTGGCTTGTGAGATAAAAAGAAACAGGGAGTTTTTAGTTCTTTCCGAGTTCAAGGCCTGCTTTTGTGGGTCGTGGAGGTTAACAGCATTTGCGCACACCTGCTGTTTTTTAATGAAGCGGATTAGCTATAGCCCACACTGCTCTGGCCTCCATCCTGCCCTCCTATAGGACATCAGACGGCCACAGGTCAAGGGTGAGGTTACTGGAAATGTCCCCTTAAAGCACCAGCAGTTAAAAAAATCCATTACTTTGTACACGCTACATTAGCTGCTACGTGCATGTGCGATTGTATCCTAAACTTAGCTTTCAAGAGAATTTCACAGTGTGCTGGATTCCTGAATTAATTATTAGGCTATGTTCTGTAACAAAAACCGGGCATAAATGTTGACGTGAAGAAGTGTGCCAAGAATTAGTCGGTTAATGGAACAAGTCTTTGTAATCCTGGTTTACTTTCGCAGTGAAAGGGCTTGGAAATGGGTTGCCAAATAAGGGAAGGAAAGGGAAGTTACAGCTGACAATTTATGGCGAGTAAAGAAATAGCATGCATGGAGAAAGGGGGAACATACACATTGCTTTCTAAAGGAGGCTTAGAACTTTTCTAATAGCAAATAGCTTGGCCTGCCAAACTGAATATCCCTAATAGACTGTGTTCATGTGACATCACAACATCCCAAAGAGCCTATACTTTCACATTGTGGTGGCGTGAAGCTGAAAAAACCGTGCTGTTGACTGAAGTAACTGTCAAAAATCATACTGGCCAATCCACATGAACGTTTGACATCTTCTTTGTCAGAACATGTCACCTATATCTACTTCTTTTCTCATACATTTAACGGTCAAGTCACCGCCTGGGGTTGGCAAGTAGTAAATAATTTCAGACATAAGTAAAATATTGCAGATTTGTGAATCTCAAAGATCAGATAATGGTCTGAGATAACAGTTGGACCTTTTCTTTTTCAACAATTCTTTCAAAAATGGCTTCTTTCCCATGGAGTTGTACTTCTCCAACTGAAATGGAGAAACCCACCAATTTCAGCGGACACTTCCATTGTGTATGCTACATTTAATGAGCTATATCAACCATGTATTTTTATAAATGTTGGTAAAATGGTAAAAGTTATTCCTTATGAAACCATGCAGCACTTAAAATTCCTGTTCAGTGCTGCTGCTCCCCAAGGATTTCTTTGGAGATTCAAAAAAAAACACCATAGAAATTGGAGTCATCTTTGTACGAAATTGCCAGAAAATATAACACTGATTTTGCGGCTCACGGGAGCATAAATGTACCCAATTTGTCGAGATGGGAAAGTAGAATATAAGAATGTGGATTACAATATGATGAGAGGTGTGACCATCGCTCAGCTCCTCGGGTTTCCTCATTTTCTGCTCGTGTAATGTGATAACCCTCTATTGAGATTGGAGAACGCATGAGGTGTAGCGATGCTGAGTGAGTTTAAATTGTCCCGGGTTGAGAGAAAAACCTTGGAAAATAAAACAAAATTACAAAAGATCACGCGAAACAAAGAAATGATTAACGCGACGGAACAAAACAAAAAAAACTTGTGCAAACTTCTCTCATATAAATAGACTACAGTGTTTGTGTTGTAGCACCATGAAGAATGAGAGGTGTGTTCGAATGGTTATTTGCATGGGTCAGCTCCCACGTTTATGAAATGTTGAGCCACTGAGCAGAAACAGGCGTGGACCACTGGGACAAGTTCGATTGGGGTGGGCGTCGGGGTTCATTCGAAAGGAAAGTTCTGTGGATGAGGTTGTAGAGCTACTAGGATGTGCTTGGAAGCATTTTGTGTTATCGTTTGTTAGCTGGATCTTTACTGAAGTCTCACCCATTAAGGCTTATACAAGAAGCAAACTAACTCCACATTTGAGATATTGAAAGAAATGGCTTTTGTAGATGTTAATATTCCATACATCTTAAGGCCAGGTGGGCAATATTATATAGATATGAGTAGTTTTATAATTTCTACATAAATTCCTTAATCCAGGACACATTCTTAACTCACTGACTGCCAACCGTTTTTGATGATTTCACTGACTTTCAAGACCCACAGAATATTGTGTGCTATGACTATGTGAAATATTAAACCAGATTGTGAGAGATTGGACTGTCTACTTTCATCAGCAAAGATATGTTGGTTCCTAGCATGTTTGTTGTCCTGTAATCCCCAGTCAAATAGAGGGAAGTGTGACAGAAATCTCAGACAAATACGTCAACGGCAGTCAATGAGTTTTTAACAGTGACCTGGCTTTCCCTTCATTCATTTTCTTTTGTTTGTTATGTCTGTTATTGATTTTAGTAGTTTTAAAATTTACAAGGTTTCAGGGATCTATTCTTTGTCTGTTTCACATCAAATCTCTGGAAAAACATAGGCGCCTAATGCGTTTAAATTAAAGAGCCTATACAGGTCTGTCTCAAAAGAGTATTGTGAAAAAGTTCAAAACATTGTGTCAGTCATTTCAGGAAACTGTTATTTTATACAAAGACTTGAAATATTTCACTGCAATGTGCACTGGATGAATGATTTTTTTCACAATATTCTTTCTTTCAATTAGACTTACCTGTAATGCTGTTTTACCACGGATCTTATCAGAGTATTGCCCACCTTTTTTTAATATTGCTATTTTTTTTCTACCCCCAACACCAACAGCAAATCAAAGTAGCTCATAAACTCACATTCACAACCCTTTCTACATCCACCTACCACAGGGCCCGGCGGTCACACCCAGTCCTGTAGCGAGCGCTTGCAGTGGACCAGCAGGCGCGGCGCTCCTTTGCTCTGCAGCGTGTTGATGATGGCGTATATGAGTCCCAGAATGCACAGCACCAGCACCAGCGGTATAGTCACCATTAGAATATTCATGGTCCGCTGTTCGCTATCGTCCACTTTCAAAACCACGTCCACTTCATTGGTCTCCTCCTCCCGCCCCTCCCGGTCGTCTTCATCGCGGCCCTTATCCGTGTCTCTATCCTTGTCCGTTCTGTCTTTGCCTTTACCGCCGTCCCGTCCAGCGTCCGGGTTGAACGGCGGCCGGTTGACGTCGGGGTATTTGCGGTCCTTGTCTGCGTCCGTGGTTCTGTCCGGGTCCAGGTCCACGCTGCAGCCCATGAAGTCCAGCAGGATGGACTTGGGGAAGCCGGGCTCGCTCTTCATCCGGTGGTTGTCGAACTTCCAGTACTTTGAACCCTTGTAGAAGTAGGTATAGGCTGCGGAGAGGAAAGAGCAGAGAATGAGGGTTAAGTCAGAGAGAAAGTGTGTTATACAGCCATAGCACACGCACGGTAATATTGTCTCTTTCATCTCCCCTAAATTACACAAATGAATTGGACGAAAAAACTGAATTTTAACATGATGACCTTTTTGTATGTTCAGAGGCCAAAACTATATCAACATATATAAGGGACTATAAAGATTTTTATTTGAACACATAAAACACAGAAAAAAATGAAAAAAAAAAAAAAATGTAGTGAATGTACTCAAAAGAAATATTATAAGTTTGTCTCCCGATCTTATCCATCAAATTTGAAATGTTTTGTTATTATGTTCTGACGGCTTAAACATTTTGGGGATATTTGAGATTCATTATCACTCACCAATTAAACAAATATATATATTTTTTAAATGCACCACGAACGACTATTGTCAGCACCTTTTATTGAAATTGCTTTTATACTCTGTCTCTTGCTGTGAAAAAAAACTAAACAAAAACAGCAAAAACAATTCATCTTGATTTGTTTAAAGTTGGGGTACCGAACTTACAGACCACAAAAAACAAAACAATGTATTGATAATAAAAATTCATGTAACTCGTCCATTGCTCTCAAAACCATGAGAGAACAACCCTCACTCAGCCAATCAGCTCTCAGCCAATCAGCTCTCAGCCCACAACAGCGGCTCAAAGGGCTCTTTCTCACAAGTATGTAATGTATGTTTTCTAATCTAATGCATGTAAGTGGTCTGATTTGTTCACTATATGTTTTGCTTATACAACATTCTTTCTGTTGGGAAAAAAAACAAAATAGATCTTTTTATGATTTCTTACCACATTTTTTCTAGTAATCTAGTAAGATCTTGCATCTGTCTGTGAACTCAATAGCATGGAGCAGGCCAGATATAGTTACATCTACAAACCATTACAAACAAAATCCTTCATCCGTCCAGCCCAAACCCTTATTAAGTCAACTCAAGATTCACAAGGCAATTTGACTCTCCACACAATCAGCATTTGGGAAGCGCAAACAGCTGACGAGATTGCTCTGTGCCGTCTACTTTGTCTCATCAGCTCGTGTCTCCTTCATAATTGTGACATTTCCAAACCTCAATATAATTTCAAACCAGTCGAGCATCCCACGGCTACAATACAAGAAACGCAATTCGATATCTGCCCAAATCTCCGGAGAGACTGCGAATGAAAACACAACCCCCCCTCTGTTATACATCCCCCCACAGACTCGTATCCATCCCCGCTGCCTGATGAGTGAGCAGCCACACCCTTTGTCTCACAGCTGTATGCGTCTGTCCCGGCCCAGTGCTCTTGTTGGTGATTGAACATAAGCAGTGCATCTCTCACCTCCGTCATCGCTGAGGAAGGCACCCTTGGGAGACTGGGGCACCGAGGAGCCCCACACGCTGATGGGTTTCGGGTATCCGCTGTCAGCTGAGCGACTCTGCTCGTTGAAACGCCAGTACCTGCGGAGAAAAAGCGGCGGAGATAGCTTTGTTAGCAAATCACAAAGTTCTTACAGTCAACATGAAGCGGAGTGCAGACAGGCGGCAAAAAGTGACAAAAATGAGTGAAAATGTGCTTGTTTTGGCTAATTTTGTCTTCATTTCTATACATTTTTAAATGCATGGTTTGCCGATGGAACAAGCAAAAATAATTAGTTTTCAAAGGTTTTTTTAATTATTGTATTTAGTTCAAACTTGCACAATAGTTATTTCTACATTTATCAATATACCAAACAAAAAAACCTGCACCTGGTTTGAAAAGAGACATGAAAATGCAAAACAAATCCTTTGGAATAAGAAAGACCTCTCATCTGCTTTATTTTGTTTTGTTTTTTGTTTTGACAGTTTCAATGCACTTAATTCAAGATTAAAAAAAAAAAATGTGTTGGTTCAAGGATAGTTCATACTATGGGCTATATGCACGGGGAGGCGTGACGTCATTTCCTGTTGACAAAGATCAGCCCGTTCACTTCCTGCCTATGCTATCCTATGGCTTTTAGGTGGGTTTTAGTGACGTTTTTTAGTAATTAGATCATTACATTCAGCTGTGAGACTGACACAAAAGTGTCGCTGGGCTTTATCTCTGAGGTAGAGCTTTGACTGTGGCCACTCAGAGCGATTAGTTAACTTTATAAAAACACAATGACAGCACAATCAAAGAGCACTGCTGTGTCCCAAAAATGCCCAGTACCCTCACAGTTTAATAATTATTTGGGAAACTCGTGTAAACCACTGCTGAACTCCAGTGAAACTCAAGCCGTTTCCCGCGAACAGGAAGTGTAGTGGGGTTGTAGCTAAAACGCGGAAGTGGTGCGTGCATAGAGCCCATTGACCCGGGGTCAAAAACGTGAGTCTGTAAGTGTGAAAATGGCTGAGGATTTGATTTATGGTTTACTGATAAGAAGCTATATGTTCGAAGTGCACGAGGAGAATTCAAATATGAGAAAGAAAACCGATATGTGAAGAAATCTTCCCCTCTGCTGTTGGACTCTTGAACACTTCTTAACCTGTCCCCCCGCCCTTTATAAAGTCACTTTACTGCCCATCATACGTCACTTTACTTCACTGTACTGCTGTCACCTTACACTGTGTGCACCATGTGCACTTGTACATTGTAAATAGTAACTGTAACTCTATTTTAAATTTAAATTTATTCTTTAGAAGTGTTTTTTATTCTTATTTTTATTATCTCTTTTTGACTGTTGCACTGAGCCAAAGCAATTTCCAAGTCTGTGACCTCCCGTTACTTACGTTGGCAATAAAAATGATTCTGATTCTGATTCTGATTCTGACTTTATGTCTTTATTTCAGCATGTATTCATTGCCGAAAAGAATTGACAAGCAAATTCTCACTGTGCTTAAAACTTAAAACTGTACTAGCTTTTCCCACTTGAGGATAAAACAGTCAAAATGCACTGAAATTAAGATTATCACTTCACGACCTTATTGAATCTCTTTTCAGCCATGTGCTCCTTGCATTTCGAAGCCTGTTATAGAAATCAAAACACAGGGATAGCCAGATTTGTATCGTATGCAAAAAGAAAATTTGCTGTTTGTAAAGGAAACGATGTAATATAAATAATTGCAGGCATTAAACATAGATTTTGATTTGATTGTGATTAATCATGCAGCCCCACAGTCTGTTCATGTGTATAATCATGTCAGCAGTGGTTGGTTTCATGAGCTTTTCTCAAAGGAGTGGTGAATTCTCAAGCTACATTTTAATAGCCTAATATAAATTGGCCAATGAATTAGTCAAACTTCCAGTGCATGTCTTTAATCTTTATAATATGGCTCTCACTCCGAACATAAACAACTAAGAGAGTGACCTTTTCTGCTTCCATTGAATTTAAAAATAACTATGTCAGACTAGCATGTATTTCATCAAGTAAAACTGCATGCCAGCGCTTAAGGTTAAGATCACAGATATACCACGAAATATATTTAGTTTAAGATCCAAATCCAGATGTATTTTTGATTATCCAAGTGTCTTTTTGTTTATACAATGTACGTATCTTCATGTACAGGTACTCATTTATCTATTTTTTGAATGGGACAGTGCAGATTAATCAACATGTGTCCACGTAAATATGCCAGATTGAGCCATGGTTAGGATTTATCCATCTGTAGTCCCATGGCAGGTTGTTGCTACAGCCATCAATAAACAGATTCATAGCTGCATTCGAATATGAAAAAAGTATAGAAAGCAGGTCAGTAAAAGCAGCACAGGACATTACAAACCTGAAAACACAGACAATAACAAGTACATCATCAAACGGCACAGACTGTTAGCCCACACTGTGACTGTAGTTTTGATTGTTCAAGATTTCAAGATTTCAAGATTCAAGATTTCAAGATTTTTATTTGTCAAACCAAGTGAATGGTTTGAAATTATATTTCTCTCATCCTTGATTGTGGAGGCGGGGGGTGGGGGAAGAGGGGGGGGGGGGGGGGGGGGGGGGGGGGGGCAGGGAGTTTAGCTTCCTGATGGCCTTGTGAATGAAACTGTTTTTAAGTCGACTGGAACTGTTCCGTAAATTCTGCAGTCTCCTCCCTGAAGGCATTACCCTGAAGAGCCTGTGTGATGGGTGCGTAGGGTCCCTGGTGATTCTGACGGCTTTGCGGGTGAGACGGGTGGAGTACATGTCCTTAATGGTGGGGAGAGGGGCTCCACAGATATTCTCTGCTGCTCTCACGATGCGCTGGAGGCTCCTTCGGCAGGAGGCAGTGCTGGTGCCGTGCCACCCAGTGATGGAGCTGGTCAGGATGCTCTCTACAGTCCCTCAGTAGAAGTTGCCCACAACGGAGGCCGGGACTCCTGTAGCGCCTCTTGTGACGCCTCCACTGTGCTGCAGATGCGTGGGGCCCTCGGTGACCTGTCAGCGCTTCAGAAGATGATATCTCTGGATTTGTAGGTCTTAAATACTGCTCAAAAAGCCTTTAGCTCAGATGCTAACTGTGTGTTTACTTTTAAAAACACATCCTCTGTTCATTGCTAGCAAAGAGCTTTGGCAGTAAAAAATCCGCTGAACTCCATAAAAACATGGCAAAGATGTACAACAACATCTTGCAAAACAATGCGGATCACAAAAATTGCAAATGTAGGGTAGAAAAGGGTAGAAACGTCACCTTGTCAAGAGAGAGAGAAGCCGCAGCATGTTCATGCGCCGCCATGGTAACAAGGGGCAGCAAGCCACAAGGTTCAGCAGCCACAGTTTGAGAACCGTTGTGAAGGTTGTCAGTGTTGGGATGTTTCTGATCTGTCACTGTCTGTGTTGGTTGTTTCAGCTACAAATGAATTGAGCTTTCCACAATTGAGACAAATAGTGTTTTCAATCAATCAATCAAATTCAAAATCAATCAAAATCAAAAGTAGAAGAAAAACACCATAGGAAACAAAATGGTAAAATGACCCAGGGTTTGTCAAGTTATGAAAAGTCATCAAAATTAAGCTTGAAAAAAACAAGACTTAGTGCATTTTGTAAACACTGTGGTGGGTCAATTTGACTCAAGGACAGCACAAGGGTTAAATAAAAGAACATTTGTTTTCTCCATGATCAGAACACATGAACAAATATTGCATCTATCTTGATATCCACATTTACCAACCAATACTAAAACTAATAAGTAACAAAATGGCTAGAAATATTCATTGTGTCGATTTTACCTGTCTCCTTGGAAGAAATAGGTGTAGCCCGATGGCTCCCACCAGATGGCTGCGTCTATTCTGTCGTATGGAATGTCGGAGCCGTAGTGCACCAGCTCTTGTGGGTAACCCGGCTCCAGGTTGGCCTCTCTGAAAACCCAGTATCGGTTCCCTAAGAAAAAAGAAACCCCAAAACATTTAAATACGTTGGTTGTATTGGTTATATCGTTTGTCTACAGCCATTCCAACTGCTGTTCATTCTCCCTCGGGACAATGAAACCTTCCCGCACCAAAAAGCATATAAAATCCTTAATGGACTTTACAAAATGAGGCTATAAACAATAACCGACACTTATATTTTCTGGCATGGGATAAGACCGATTATTATAGGGGGAATGAACAATAATCAGAACAAATCAGAAAAAACCCCCAACCAGTGTTTACGCACACTTGTAAATTACGCCAATGCAATAATGATTTGTTGGCCCGCAATAAAGAAAGCGAGCAGAAACGAGCGCGGATTCATTTCTTGCGGACTCGGGGTTTGGCGCGTAATGAGCTATTAGCAGCAGCTTGTGTAATGTCAGACGTGAGCAAAATTCTTTTATTGTTGTTTTATTGTTTTGCGACTCTGCCCTCTTCGGTACAATTACTTCTACAGTAGGGTTTTGGCGCCGAGCCTCCTGTTCCTGCCTTGATCCCACACCCGTGTATATCTGTCCGCCCACCTCCTCTCGACCTGAGCTCCAAGTTTAAAATGAAAGCCCTACACTCAGCATCTGGAAAGGGCAGTGGGGTTGACGCAATGCTTCCCAGGGCTCCCGCTGTTTCGCACAGCCCATGTTAAAATCCCCATTACTACTTCTATGACTTTCCAGCTCTGAGTGCACATCTTTGTGACCTTAAAGTTTGATTCTTTCCTGCTGTGAAAATGCACAGTTTGGTGTAAATATATATGAAAAATGCAAACAGCTGTGCATGTAAGATGGAGGGTGATTCCCAGCTTATTTAGGCCAGTACCTCTCACGCATAGAGTCACAGCAATAGAGGTTAGGCGAAATAAGTTTATACTTCAGACTAAACCATGTATTTGTATGTTTTTCTGTAGAATAATACGTAATATTTATTTTGAATGTGGTGACTGAAGAAGAAAAACTCTGACACTGAACTGAATATTTTTTGGCCAGGCCTGCCACAAGAACAAGAAAACATTTCGCACACTTTGAAGATATTTTTATCTAATTGCAATATCTTCCATTTAAAAAAAAGTCTAATTTAGTAAGAATAAAAGTCAAGAGTTAAATTTAAAAAAGCAATTACGTCATGCAATTCCCACACATGTCAGGTATTAGGGGCCTCCGTAACAATAGACTGACACAAAAGGGCCTTTGGAAACACCGACGGCTGCTTACACAATCCTTTGAAGACGTGCAGTGGCCTAATTGCTTTGTATATTTTAAGTATTGGCACATTTCCTTCCTCATGTGCAGCTATAGGTCATTGGTTGTTTGCAGAGTTTGATTTTACGACAACAGCAGGTAATTCAATACTGTTTTATGTTGTTACTAATCTAAGAAATATCATAGTTACAACATATAATTTCCATATTCATTTGCAAAACTGTTTAGATACAAGACTGGTGATGCAGTGAAGGTCATGTTAATCCAAAATGAGCAAGGAATAATCAAAGTATACATATTAACCAGCTGATGATTGCATTTATGTGATTTTGTTGAACAATCATACATTTTTTTACTTAATGTAATTGTGAAAAAACATAATCCCAATACATACGGTTTTAAAGGATATACAAGTATTGAAAATCCACATGCTTTCAAGTCTGTGGTCCGCTCAAGCCTGATCACATCTGATCTCAGAAGCTACGCAGAGCAGGGCCTGGTTAGTACTGTAATGGGAGACAGTGTGTTTTAACTGATGATTCTCTGATCTGTGTTGGTGATTTCAATGGTTTTGTTAAGTTTCTGAGATGATGCTGTTGTGACCTAGGGCTATACAAGAATAAATTGTATTGAATTGTATTGTATTATTGTATGGGAGACCGCTGTAATAATCTTGACAAGTGAAAAGGGTGCCTTCCTCTTCTATGCAAAGACTACATTAATTCCAAAATGTGTGCAATCATGAAGCCAAACACGAAGCCGTCCTCTTCTTGTGAGCTCCTAACCGTAGTTTCCCTCTCTCACTTCTTCCTCTCCTTCTTCACTAATGGCATGTCGCCAAGTGTCGCACTGAGGGGCTTAGAGATGACATCATCCCACCCATCATCCCCAGCTGCCCGAAGCCTGGAGCCCGGACTGCATCAAAGGCTGAGTGCGTTCTTTTTCATTCAACAGCAACAACTTTATCCAGTGCTGTAAAAGACAAGCTGCTCTCTCTGACAGAATATAAATAATGAGTCACACTAAAATAGATTTACACTTGGCACGAAGAATGCATTATGTGGCACTACTTTCTTTAAGAGGTGAGGGCGTAGGAATATCTGAAATTATCTGGGAGATATGAAAAGGCGCACGTTGGCTCATATATTAGAACTAGAACAATATAAGATCAAGGATAAGCCCAGATGGTGGATGGTTTCCAAAGGCTGCTTAAGGCGAAACTGCTCTATCTAACAATCCAACTATAAAGCTGAAGAGATGAGCATATTTGACCATAAACAGTGCTCACACACGGACATTGTCTATACGTGTCCTATCATCCACAGCTGCAGATCCAACTACGGCCTTGTGCTGGCAGAGCAGAGTAAATAGTGAGAATTCCTTGGAAGGAAATTCTAAACACTAGCCTTCTTTGTCAGATCTGGTGGGTCAGCAAAGAAATTTGATAGTCCGATATGAAGAGGATGCATAGTAAATAGACAACAGAGTAAATAGACAGCAAATCAAAATCAAAACAAGAAGAAAAGAAAGCAAGAAAAATTGTCTCTCTCCTGCGTCTTTACCCATAGTCCATTTCATATTATCATTTACCCTACAATCAGCTTTGTTGGCAAATTGTAATGGCCCCATTAGCAACAATATGCAACGTACAGATTTTGAGCTCTCGATAGTGTCACAAAGACCAGCTGCACACAGTTAACAAACAATAAATGACTCCTTACCTTTGAAAAAGACAAACTTTCCATCGTGCCTCTCATAAGCAGAGTCTATATCTCCAGGCAGACCTCTCCAGAAGTGACCGATGGGCATGGGGTAGTTATCCAGGACTCTGTTTCTGCGGACACGCCAGAACCAACGGCCCTGAGAGGACAACGGGGGACAAAGTAAGCCAATGATGTTCTTATAGTAGTAGTAGTAGTAGTAGTAGTAGTAGTAGTAGTAGTAGTAGTAGTAGTAGTAGTAGTAGTAGTAGTAGTAGTAGAAGATCTTTATTCCAGACTCGAGGTCCTTATAAAAGACTAAACAAAAAATACTTCTGGTTCCATTCACAATACAACTCATGGCATGTTTCCACCAGTCTGATATGAAGGTGATTTGTGCAGCCTGAATGTGTTTCTGTGTTTGCTCTAAACAGGCTTCTTTAGGTCCCAAATCTTAAACAGGTCTGGCCCTGGAACACTTTAGCTAAATGAGGAGCTAAACAATCAAAGGTGGTTAGGGACTGAGCCATAAATGCAATATTATAACAAATAAAGGCTTGACATTTGTGACTTTCCGTGTGGTAAGTCTTTATATTGTATCATATATTCTGATTTCTGAGTTTTACTAATGGACTGACTTATGATTAAAGCCACGGTTCATTTTCCAGCTACTTAGATCCATTCTACAACTATAATCCCTGAATCACTGCACGTTTCTCAATCATTTTTTAAAACTCCCATCAGCACAAGGTCGACGAGAGAGACGCATCAGCAAAGCGAAGTGGTTGTTCTTGTATTTGAGCCGTAGGACAGATTTACACCGCGCTCATTCAGAGGCGGTGAGTCAGTGGTCCGTTCTGTCCTGGATAATGTAATGGTCAAAAAAACGCTGCTTCTTTTTTGGCAAGCTTGGGGAGTTTTGTCCTTCACTACGGACAATCTGGCAGCTTTTAGCGTAACTGTATGGCATGAATCACAACTAGTAATAGGGTTTTTCCTTTTTTTTTTACATCAAAAGATAAAAACACACAAGAATAATCTGCATTACACAGATAGAAAACGGGTTGGACAAAGCAGAAACTTATTTGCTTCCAACCACTCTAACTCATTAGGGCTGCACAATACAGTATATCAAAAAAATATTGTCATTGCGATATTGGTACGTGTGATATCCATATTAAAAAAATGTGGATATCTGTGACCTAGTGCCGTCCCACGCTACAGTGGAGCACGCAGAGAAACAACACAAGTGGACGATGAGACGAATGCAGAGAGGAGCTTGTTCCCAAAAGACGCTTTACCTCCGGAATTTGGGACTACTTCAGATTTACAAGACAAGACCAATCACAGAAACAAGTTATTATCACTTCATGCCGAAAAAAAAGTCGGTACGTCGAAGGAAAACACGACAAATCTCCAGAGCCACTTTCAGCACAACCACAGTCTACGTTATGCTGTGTATTTACAATCTCAAACTCGATTACAAATACCATGATGATGTCCAAGAGAGCAGAGGGATCTCATTTGGGTTTTGATTTTGTTAGGGGAAATGTAGCTGGTTTTGGTTCAATCTCAATTCACAAACTGAAACATAGCACCACACATTTTATTTTAGAATTAAAGCATATAAAAAAATAAATCACACGTTATACAGAGTTTGTATCAGTTCTAACTAAACTCCAGCAGGTGGTTTGTAGCAGTAATCAGTGCTTAGGAGAAGATTTTGGCAACAAAACTGAGTGTAATTGTCATGAATAGGAACAGAGCATATTAAATACTGTCCCTTTAACTTATTTTTATTCCATGAACAGTGGGTGTGAAGCATACAATACATATCCAAACTTGGAGTGACTATACACCAGTGTTTCGATTTGTGTGTGGTCTGAGAGTCTCCATCAAGCAGACTGAAGTTGAATTGACCATTGGTTGTCTAGAGAACTCAACTCCACAGTGGGAGATTGAAGACAGCTCTGCGTGTGCTCTCTCTGCGTGTGTGAAAATCTACAGCACAATTTCATCTAATTTTCCTCTTCCAAACCCTGTCTGTGAAGCTGTATTATTGGCACTTGAAATCCCGGCCAAAGTGCAGCATAGAAAGCAGTGGGTGGGGATTTTCTAGCAAATTAACAGAATTCAGCAGAAGAATAAAGAAGCCTGCGAATGCCAAGATCCCAATAGCTACCAACCTTTTCAAACCTCTGTGACGCCGTGGACATGTTCATATTAAACCGCTCATCACACATGCTGGAGCTTCATGTGATTTCTAAAGCTAGTTAATGGCATTTGCAAGAACTTGGGCATGAAGGCTGTAATGTAATTTTAATGATATGATAAATGCTTTCCAGACCGTGCTCAGGCCTGAAGGGAGAAACCCGGGAATAGAGATGTTACAGGCGGACGCGAAATCCAAGAACACAAATATAATTCTCTGGCCGTGCGCACGTCCGGACAGCTGGACATCTCTGCTACTGATCACAGGCAGTCACTTATTACACACACTATTTACAGACCCAGTGGGTGTGGTCCTCTCAGGCGTTGGATACGGCCATGTATGATATCCTTCTCGTCTAAGCCTTAATAAGGTGCATCAAGACATTTTAAATAGTACAAAAGATTGTTTTTGTCTTGTTAGCTGGTAAAATAGACTCCGAAAAAGCCAGACACACACATGGGCTAATCCATCCATCCATTTTCTACCCCTTAATACATTTCTGGGTCCGGGGGGTGGCTATGTGACCCACATAGCACCAACCCCTCACTGATCCTCCTGCAGGTGGTGAGTCCACAGGAGAATGGCTGCTCTGTCTGTGAGAGCATAGCCGTGATCTTTCAGCGGGTGCTTCAGGCAAAGTGGGGTTAAGTGTCTTGCCCAAGTAAACAACGACAGCAGTCATCAGTGGGAGTCGGTGGAGAAGGTCTCGTGATGAGCTCGAACCCACAACCTTCAGGCTCAAAGGCCAATTCTCTACCAACTGAGCCACTGCTAATCCTGATCCTGTTGATATGTTGTCATGGAAAAATGTGCTGTGATTCTAAAATCCTACATAAACAATGCAGAGTGGGGACAAAGAAATAATGCAAATATAAGTTATGAAACCTCAGTGGTAGATTACTGAGATTCAACATCGTCGTCCAAATTCAACCGTAGTAGCAGGGATGCAGTGCACTCCCTACAGTTGAAATGGGACGTGTTAGAAGGATATCATGATGACCCTGGAGAAGCAAAGCTAACGCCAAATGGTTCTCTCACATGTTCCCTGTCTCCTATCTCCCATCCAGAGAAAAGCCAGAGCCAGACACCGCCTTTGACCTCTCCCCTCTCTCAACACTCAACCAGGAGTATCGCCCATCCCAGAATCTACACACGAGACGGGTAAATGCTTACACTCAAATTATATATATATGGGTTTTTTTGTCTGGTTCTGTGATGAGGCCTTCTTTTGTATGCACTGGTCTGAGTTGCAACATATAATTCAAAGCATTAATAAAAAGTAATGTTTTGAAGATTGGCTTTGAGCTTTGTTTCTTGAAATGATATGTATTGTTTTGAAGGGACTGGAGTCTTTCTCAGTGTCTATGGACGTCGAGGGATGTGGTCAAACTGAAGCGAATTTTAGTTTATTTATTTGAGATCTTCAGTTGCTGGCTCAACATGACTTTTCTACAGCCAATCGAGTGTCGGCGAGTTGAGAAAACTTTGAGAAAAGAATTTGAAATAATTGTCAGATATGAAACATTATTCAAGGTTAGCCAAGTGGAAAAAGGTATTATAAATAAACAAACCTGGAGTACCTCACTTTGAAATCACAACAAATGAAATAACTAAAGTTAAAGTAATACAATCCATAAAATTACTTCCTTGCTCTCAAAACAGTTTGATCACTAGTTTTCACATGCATTTATTTTTGGCCTTTTTCCATATCTTTAGAAAAACTTTTTTAGTGAAACGAGAGGAGCACAGCCAATCAGCTCTTAGTAGTTTTCTAATAAGATGAAGACAGTATGTAGTGGTTTGATTCATTCACAAAATGATACTTACACAAGACTGCATATGTATAATGAACTTAGGTACTTCAGCTTTTAAGAAAAACATTTCAATAAAAGTAAAAGCATAGTGTTCCCGGAGAGGAATTGATTTATAGAACAACAACAACAAGAACTTATTCTTGTATAGCCCTAAATCACGACAGAAGTGATGTCAGGACTTAACAAAACCATTGAAATCACCAACACAGATCAGAGAATCAACAGTTAAGACACAAAATATACACATTGGTCCATAGGAGAGACTAATGTCCATGAATGTTGATAAATATTAGAAGGACTGAATTGGATTTAGTTCAATGCATTTGTTGTTTTTATGCAAACAATAAAATCAAAATTCTCTCAAAGTATTTACTAAAATTGGCTCCTTTCACTCCAACACACTGACCAGGAAACCATTTGGAGAAACATGCAGCGTCAGCCCTTGTTAATGTTTTGTTGGACGAGAGGCTGTTTAAGGCTAACACCTGATCACACCGCACCCATTTACCAGTGTTCAGGCTCATAAAACCCAGCCTGTATTGGTTTACAATCCATAAGACCTGATTGAAAACAGACCCAGCACGTGGCATTCATCTTAGACATCCATAAAAGCACAACCAATTTATACACACAATTACCTTGTCAAGAAACACCCACTGAGCCAGAGCCAGTCAAAGTCCAAACAAGGCCATGCAGGAAAAAACTGCTGAGTCATAAAAACTATTTACCTTGAAAACAAACATTTCTCCTCGGAGCATTGCCACTGTGTCAAAGTTCCCCTCGCAGATATTTGGCCCGTAGTGGTCCGGCCTCTCTGTAGTCCTGGGCCGGTCCGGTTGGCGAGGTGGGTTCTGGGGGGGGTTCTGAGGTGGGTTCTGAGGGGGTCTGGGGTCCGGGCGACGAGGCGTGACGGTGGGCAGTGCTTGTGTAGGGCCGCTGTTGGGCTGGCCTATACAAAGGTGAAGTATATTTTAATAACTGCAGTGATAAGGCTGTATGTAATTTATACCCACAATCTGGAGAAATATACTCTGTTAGAACCTTAAGAGAATGTACAGTATGTATTTTTTTAATTACAATCGTCACTTCTGTCTCTTTACACTTCACACACTTGTGAAGTGTAAAGATACAGAATTGTATTGAGCTGCCCGTACAGAACAAATATCACAACAATGCACAACAGTTTAGCCTGGCTCACTGTAAAAAGCAGAACACAGTATTATTATTATAATATTATTAACGTTTATCAGGAATGTTTTAGTGTCACACAATCCTGAAACATTATATTATAAATTGAAACTTTTTTCAAATTCTCATGATCATGCCACACGGCAAAGTAGTGATTTAAGGTGTGTGCTCCCTGCTTGCAGAACAAATAAAATGCAGAAAACTGTAGTCTATCGAGCCATGGTTGCATGGAACTTGTTGCCCTCCTTTCTGATCAAAGAGAGTGAGAGAATTCATTTTCAAAAGAAATTAAAGCTATATCTTTTCACACATGAACATTAATTATACATCAAATATAATATTTTATATTTGAGTTGGACTGAAGCCACTGGAGAAAGTTCATTTTTTATTATTATTATTTTTTTTTTTTTTATTATTTTTTTCATGGTTGTAAATGATTTCTCACTGAGCTGTCATATCGTCGTGTGTGTGCGTGTGTGTGATTTATGTATAAAAATATGTAAAAGCATGTAATGATTTTGAGGAGACCCCAGGAAGATTAGCTACTGCATCTCAGTGGCTAATGGGGATCTTAATAAACTAAACTAAACTAAACTAAACACTTCACAATCTCATACTTAGACACATACTGTACACATATTTAATAACCCGCACTGTTATAAGTCTATTGTGTGTATTTATATGTGTGAGTTTTATTCATATCTGCAGGCATTCCTTTATATCTATTTTTGAGTATTTTATTTCTTATTATTGCACCATAAGCCAAAGATAATGACTAGTTTATGACATCTTGTAATTTACAATGGCGACGGTAATTATCTCAGTTGGTGGAGCATTGGCCTTTGCGCCTTAAAGTCGTGGGTTCAAGCCCACCACGGGATCTACTTCAACTGCTCCCACTAATGTCTGCTGTCGTTGTGCCCTTGGGCGAGACACTTAACCCCACATTGCCTGAAGCCCCCGCTGAAACACCAAGGCTGTGGCACCACTGATGTAGCAGCCATCTTCCTGTGGACCCACCACCTGCAGAGGATCAGCAAGGGACTGGTGCTATGAGCATTGGGTGGCAGCTCTGATTGTCATCCCCCAGACCCAGAAATGGACTAATAAAGGGGTAGAAAATGAATGAATGAATGAATAATTCTGATTCTGATTACACAATCTAGATAAGATAAGAGAGTCATCCCACAATGGAAAATGTCAGAATTTCATTTCTCAATGCCATCTCAAATTCAAGCTCACACAGGATTATAAAAGCAAATATTATACATTTTGTAGACTTTTGTGATGAGGTACAAAAAACTAGTAAAATATATTTGCCATAGCTCCCTAAACTAGTCAACAACTACTCCTATCAAGGACATCTGAGTTACATCATCTACAATAGCATGTTTGCAGTGTATTCAAATATTAGGGTCTTAGAAAGAAAATAAATGTACCATATATCTGTTGGATGCCGCGGCGGTCGTCCTCAGGGAGCTGGAAGTTTTCGGTTTCCATCCACTGGTAGAAAGGAGCCATGATGGCCAGGGGGTTGTTGGAGTGCTCCAAGCCCAAAGCGTGACCCAACTCGTGGACGGCCACAAGGAACAGATCGTTACCTATAATCAGAAAAAGACAAGATGTTATATAAAGGGTACAACCTAAAAACGTATATAACCCAGCACTACTGATTTTGTTTAAGACACTACAGACGTAATGATGGGACTTTGTTATGTATTTACACTCATTAGAACATACTTTAACATGACTTTAAATAGCCACGAGTTAATACAAATATTGCATTAAACTCCAGATGAATCCGCACATGTTGAGCCAGTGCATGTGGCTGTCTCGTGTCTCGGCTGCAGTTCGACATGTGGCACAATGACTACAACAACAGCGTGACCGCCCTATCGCATACATACCTCACTTCATTCTTATCCGTGAGTGAAGTGAACCCCGCTTGCGGCTGGTGACTTCCACTTGGTCAAGACCCCTTTGTAGCCTGACCTGTGCGCTGGTTAATCTCTGAACTCCGCGATGCCATGTGCTGATTGGTCAAATTTATGGCAGTGACATCATCTTACTGTGGGTTTGGCATTTGGGAATGTCCTTGCAATGAATAAGCGTCTCACACATACAGACACACATAGACACACGCACACAGACAGCAGCACACTTCCCCCTCCCTCCCCCTGTTCCTCCCTCCCTCTCTCTCTTCCCCATCTTTCATTTGAGTCACATGAACGTCCTCATGCTACGCTAAGTTGCAACAAACGCTTGAGAAGGAGAAGTCAAGGGGAGCGGACAAATAAAGAGTCCTCTGTGAAGCCGCTGTGACAACCGTTCAGAATGACGAAAAGGGTCAAATGTCACGGCGAACACCACTCGACTGTTCTGTTATGTTTTTGTTTGTTCGGATCTTTCAGTATAGAAACGCTGATCTAATGTTTGAAGCCTTGAAGGGGCGTTACGTTCAGAACATAAGATTAAATCACACATTACGCATCACAAGCTTTCAGGCAGTTATTACGTCTCTAACACATGACAGTGAGGTCAGGCAGTGCCTTCACAATTCATGACTTCCACTTCATTGATAAGAAAAAATAATTACTTGATTTGATCCAGGCTTACAGAACAAATGTTATGTGGTGTTTTTATTTTCAAAGAAAGAATGAGACATTTTTACTTCTGTAATTCCATGTATCGAGGATGAAAAAGACTATCCACATGTAACTCCCTATGCTACCACCAGAGGGAAAATTATTTGGTTTTTTTTTGATAAAATAAAAACAATAGTAATAATCTAAAGACAATACTTTGGTTTTAAAAGGGAAATAACTGCTGTGTTTAATATGGTTACAATTACATAATAGCGTAAGTTTTGACACAAGATAGAAAGGGGCGAAGTTGAATTTTTTTGCCAGAAAACAACTCCAAGTGTGTTTTTTCTGAGGAAACAATGTTGTAATATAGTTAAAAACTCAAAAGACTCAACTCAATTTAGCATAATATGTCTCCTTTAACTTGTCACTGGGCCTGTCTGGGAACAGTTGGAAGTTTTGGTTGCACTTTGTCTCTGGGAAAATGCTGTCGGGCAACAAAAGGTCCAGTCTGAAAAACTTAAGGAGTGGAACGCAGCCCCACTTACAGAGCATTCCACTGCCCCTGAAGTATCCGGCTGCAACACATCCTCCACGCGGCCGATCACACACACACACACACACACAGCTGTCTGAGGGCGACACCATGTATGCAGATTACAGAGCAGGAAGGAGCATTGTGCTAGAAATCCCCCCTGGTCAGCAGGTTAATCGGGCACAGCAAGACTCAACTGCAACACAATGCTCTTATTTTTACATCCAAATTGGTTCAAGACGTTCAAAACTTTTGCAATTATTCAGACAAACACCTTATTGTCAATATAACAGAAAAATATTATGATTTTTGATTCTTGACATACCCTAATAATGTTTTTAAATGACATGAAAAAATCCAGCAACCTCCACCATTTAAAAAAGTCCTATATAAACACTAATTTATACATGTTATGTCAGTCAAAAGTCTCATAACTCCCAAAACAAAGTCTTAGTTAAAGGTATAGAGGAGGATTTTTCCGAACTGCCGTCTCCACTATGAACGAAACTCTCTGGTCTTATTTGATGAGCACATATAACACCAGAATGACTGACAATCTGGAGAACCAATAATCTTAATGATCCACCCGGAAGTAAAACACCCTCCTATATACCTTTAATTTATCAACCGGAGCTCACCTTGTAAATTTTGGTTTCCTATCGTCCAGGGTTCATCCGAGTCAAAGTGAGTGTCTCCCCCCATTCCGGGACCGGGAAAGTAAGCGTGTGCCAAGAAGCCGCCCTCTCCATCAAACGGAGAGCTGTCGCCGTGGAAACCCGAGGCAAAGAAGATCATGATGTCTGGCTCCTTGCGGCGGCCATATTTGATCTCCTGGTAGGGGATTTCATCAAAGGTTATGGGCGTGACCTTCTCCCACACTTTAAACGCTCGTCGGATGGCCTCGAATGAGTTGTATTCCCCAATCTTCGGAGTGTAGTTCTGGATGCTACGGAAACAAATATATTCAAAGTACAGTTAAGAAACACTGCACTAGGGCTGTGGAAAAAATATTTGCGATAATGACAAGTGAAATATTGATAATGCCAAGAAGTGCAATAATTTGATGTGTAATCAAGGTGCATAAACTTTGCCATTTTATGTAAGAGTGAAAGAGAAAAACACAACATGGAGAAAATATGAACTAAAATAAGAACTAAAAGCACTCTAGTTTCATTACACCGGAAAATATCTCAATTCGAGTTATTTACTTCTTCCTATCTCGCCGATATGCTGCCATGGCATGTTATCCCTGATTTTAAAGTGAATCATTAGTAGTTCTGTTTTGTTTCAATGAAATATATAGCTGATCAAATAGTGTTTCCAGGCAAATACACAAAAATGACCACAGCATTTGAAAAAGATGAGCTATAAACAAAACCTCCATACATTAAGTATTAGATATCTTACTAGTTATTATTCTTTGAAACCTCAGAGATCTCATATCGGTTGACCTCTAATTGCTTTATAGTTTTTTATTGCAGCTCCATTGCATCACATTTGTCCAATATTGTTCAGTCCCATCAGAAACATGCACATAACTTCACTCGGTTACCTGTAAGTGAGATGATTTTTGTTCCATTTATGACCAGTGAGGGCATAACGTTTCCGCCGGACATTAGTTTTTATCTGGCCTCCGAATTTGTCAGGCACGCCACATCGAGGTCTTCTCATGGCCCTAAAGGGGTTGCAAAAGTCACAAACAGGAAGCAAGGAGCGTGGTAAAGAATAAATTACCCAAGAGATAAGGTTTTTTTTTGGTCACGTTGCTTGAGATGCAGTTTAATAATCTTACACAGCCCCAGACGGTCACAGCAGGGGTTGTAACACATGAATGATAGGATATTGCCTAAATGTAAAATAACATTTGAGCCAATACAATATGATTTTGACAATATTTTAGAAAACATCAGCATTTGAGACACTTATTTAAAGGTGTTCTTGCCGTATTAAATATTCCAGTGTATAATAACCTACCAAAACAACACTTTTGACTAGTAACTTCCTTGGTTACATGAAAATCCCAGTTTAAGTTCCAAGTGAAAGTGAATTGAATATTTTTTAAACATACGTAGACTTAAACATGCTGAGTATAGGTTTGAATGATTCAGATCTATGACTGCAGAATGGAGTGAAAATGTGTTTTTGATCAAATGTATATAAAATCCCATATTCACTGACCTTTTGATTAACCTTATTGATTAATCCAAATAACAATTGCTAATACATTCTCTAGAGACTAAAATATATCATGTCTAAAACATCTCAGTACTTCTTATTTCTTATCTCAAAACACATTATATGATTAGTTTGGGTCAAACTTAAGGAACCATTTCAAACTGCGACAGCACAGATGTTTTATTGTTCTTACCTTACTGTTTGATCGTCCATGTGGCCGGTCACCTCCAGGCCGTAGAACCTCTGCATGTCGCTGACTGCTCCAGAGAGGATCTGGGCTGATCGCATGGTGGACATCTGCCTGCTGGCCTGGGGCAGGTAACCGTACATCCGCAACCATGACTGTACACAAGGTAAAGGCAATCAGCATCAAGAAGTGACCGTTTATGATGTTTTTGTTCAAATGATTTACAAAAAAATCATACAGTGAGAAATTAATTACTGAAAAGCCAAAGCTATAACAGTAAAGGGCTGTCTGGCTCAATAATTAACTATCAAAGAGACTTATTCAACCTGCCACGACTAGAATCATATTTTATTGCAAGAAAAATAAGACAAATCGGTTCATTATTGTAAAGATAGCAGGCAAAGTGATATTATTACCAGAAAAAAAAAATCATTCAGATGGCGTGTGGGGTACATAACTTTTACATACATGATACATTTTGTGGGCAGCACGGTGGCTGAGTGGATAGCACTCTCAATTCGCAGCAAAAAGGTCCTGGATTCAAATCCCGGTCGAAACTATCTGAAGTTTGCATGTTCTCCCCGTGTTTGCGAAGGCTTCCTCCGGGTGCTCTGGTTTCCCCTTCCACTAAAAACATGTACAATAGGTCTGGCATGCACCTCCTGTACTGCCCCCGCTCCCATCTCTGTGTGGAGTGAGAGACAAACGCCCACAACTGTAAACCGCTTTGTGACTCTGGTCTGTGAAAGGCGCTATATAAATAAAGATGACTTACTACAAATAGCAAGTCTTGAAAAATAATGTTTTAAGAGTTTAGTCCACAACAAGCTTATTTTAGAAAGTTTGAATACTAATAATAGTCCTGTGAGTCAGTCCCTATTTGACCTTTTCACTTTTCTCTTTACAAAAGCTTATCCAAAGATGTGACAGAGGCCAGAAAATACATGCATTTGAAAATGAATTATAAAATTAAACAGTTTATTTTTTTTGCATAGTTCCATTAGGTGTGGTTTTAAAGTTAGGTACCCTGGTCGTAAAATGACAACATTCAAATCATCTGCAAGGATTTTTCTGCTTGGAATTCATCCTCACATGTCGTAACTGACTTGGAAAATACTGTACATGTTCATAGTTCTTCATACGTCACACATGCTTTTCAAAGATTATAAAAAGATTGCCATGAGTACGTTTGGGATAGTTATGTAGAATGGCATATGTTGTCTCAGTACATCCAGGGAGGGGGGACCTACTGACAGACTGTGGGGTGAAAATGTGCAACTGGACACTATTACAGATGACGCAAAGTCTATCCCACCTGTCATGTAGATATCCAATACCCACTACTCCCTGAGCTGTGTGCAGTCTCGAGGTTGTCTGCGATATGCCTTCACAACTCACTGCTCCCTACAGGGTTGCAGAGAATGGGCATGTCCATTCATGTCGCTCCTACAATGGGAGAACTTGCTTGATCTAATGTTCTATTGACTTATCCACTCCCTGAGAGAGCATGAAAACAAACAGCTTCTGAGCCCACATTGCGTTAGTGTTACAAAATAGAATGAATACTGAAAACTACTGCACACCAAGCTGTTTTATGTTTATATTCCCACTTCCAGGCACCAAAAACATGTCGTAATACAATGTCTAATCCAGCCATATAAAGATAGAAGCCAATATGAGAACTGATAGTTGTGGGGAAGACATCTGGCCTGTTTGTTGAATCAAAATGTAAATGACTGCAAATAAATGGCTTTGAGGGTCAACAGAAAATGTTTTGTGGGTTCATAAACAAATGTTCTGAACAAATAAAGATAAGATAACGTAGGTATACACTTTATCGATCTCACAATGGAGTAATTCACATGTCACGTTTGGCATGGAGTGCAAAAGACAGGAAATGGGCGGCTCGGTGGCTGAGTGGATAGCACTCTCGCCTCTCAGCAAGAAGGTCCTGGGTTTGAATCCCGGTCGGACCAGGGCCTTTCTGAGTGGAGTTTGCATGTTCTCCCCGTGTCTGCGTAGGTTTCCTCCGGGTACTCCGGTTTCCCTTAGCACTAAAAATAGATCTGGCATGCGCCTCCTGTACTGGCGACCCTGCTCCCATCTCTGTGTGGAGAGACAACTGCCCAAAAATAACAATTGTAAACCGCTTTGTGACTCTGGTCTGTGAAAGGCGGTATATAAATAAAGATGACTTTCTTACTTACTTACTTAAATGTTCAAACACATTAAAAGGTTAAAACATGGTCTCTTTTGTGCAAGGTATATTATGTACAATTCAATTTAAAGCGACTATAGATGAAAAGAAAAAAAACGTTTATCCATGGTATGGTTTCCAGCTTTGTAAAAGACTTAAAAAGATTATTAAAATATGTTTCCATTGGTTTCCAAGTGGTGTATGGTGTATGCAACGTCACTGCATTTCATGTGTATTGCATTCTGTAGTCGTGTGGTTCCCTGCTGATGGAGGATGTGGTGGTTGCATCAGTAGTGTTTTGTGGAGCAGCAGGAAGAGGCTAGTTTCGCAGGACATGACCCTGACCCTCCTCTGACAGAGATAAAAAAAGGGCAAAAACGTGATGCAATTGTACAGAAACAAAATGGTCATCCACAGCTCAGGCAAATGTTTTACGTGTATAAATACTATTATACTGAGAGTAATTCTGTTATTCTATCCCTTGCTTCTGAAAGAAGTCGTTTTTGGGGAGAAAATCTAGTAGGATGGGTTCACTACACTTCAATTGATGTTGTGTCAACCCGCGTGGCAACAGTGGCTCGGTTGGTAGAGCATCGGCCTTTGGGCCTGTAGGTTATGGGTTCAAGCCCAAGAAGACCTACTTCACGTCTCCCACTGATGTCTGCTGTCGTTGTGTCCTTGGGCAAGGCACTTAACCCCACTTTGCCTGAAGCCCCCACTGAACGATCAAGGCCCCTGTGGACTCACCTCCTGCAGGAGGATCAGTGAGGGGCTGGTGCTCTGTGAACTGGGCGCAGCTCTGACTGCCACCTCCCGACCCAGAAATGGATTAAGGGGAAGAAGATGGATGGATGGATGGGAGAGATGCAAATTATGCAAATTTAACTATGGGACAACCTTCCCAAAAATACTTGGAATGGTTTATATCCAGCTATGCTAATATGAAGAACTTAACATAAACAGTATGATGTAATTGTACCGCTATGACATAACATCACACATAAACCAGTTTTCTGTCTTTTTACACAAAAGTCATTACTCGTTAGTTAGACTACTGCAATGGCCTGCTCACAGGTCTGTCCAAACAGGCTGTAAAACAGCTGAAGTACATTCAAAATGCAGCAGCTCGAGTCCTGACTAGAACCAGGAAGTACGACCACATTAGTCCAGTCCTCAGGTCTCTGGCTTCCTGTGGCTCAGAGAATAGACTTTAAAACAGCTCTGCTTGTTACAAGTCTCTCCATGGCCTCGCACCAAAATATATTAGTGACATGTTAGTCCCATATGAACCAGCCCGGACTCTGAGGAGCACAGGGACTGGACTCCTGTTAGTGCCCAGAGTCAGAACTAAACATGGGGAGGCTGCTTTTCAGATTCATGCTGCTAAAATCTGGAACAGTCTTCCTGAAGATGTGAGACAGGCCTCCTCTCTGACAATGTTTAAAACCAGGTTAAAGACGGTTCTGTTTAGCTGTGCATACAACTGAGGGATTTTATATTTTTATCTTTTTTTTTATGTACTGTGATTATTTATGATTTTAATGCTTTCTTGTTTTGTTCAGCACTTTGAATTGCCTTGTGTATGAATTGTGCTATACAAATAAACTTGCCTTGCCTTAGTTAGTTTTGGCAATTTCTCAGGTAAAATTACATCATTTTTAACCCTTCATACTTGTTTCACCATATTCTTTGTACTTAAGATATTATTTCACATTCTAGAACGTGAAATGACAAATGAAGTCAATGAAGTCATTTTTTAATGGACAAAGATAATACTATTGGTTCTTGTATTATACATTTCATTTATAATAAATGAACTCTTGGTGATGGGTCGTGATGCTTAGAACAAGTATGTACAGTAAGTAAAGCCTCTGCCACCTTGGACCCTTCCACTAAACCAGTGAGCACTTAGCTGGGCAGCACACCCTCGTCTCATCAGCCGGGCCGCATACTAAACAACATCTCGGACTTGGACAGGAGTTATGGTGCCTGTGTGTACGTTAGCTCGTCGATTAAATAGCCTTTCAGAGAGTCCTTGAGCTTACCTGCCAAGAGTGGAGCCGGCTATATACAAGAAGTACTAAAAGCTGCCAGTGGGGAGTGTGCGTTTGTGTGTGCGTGTCCACAACAATGTCAGCCAAGGTTCTAACAGAGCTTTTATTCTGAGGCTTGATCTGTAGCCAGCAGTCCGCCCCACTAAAAGTAATATAAGGAGAACTGGGAAAGGTAAAAGAAGGAGGTTTCAATGTGAATCGATAAAGGTCTTTCAGAATGCTGGTTCACATAAAAGGAAGTGACAATAATGAGAGGGCTGTGAAATGCTATATTTGGGGTTTAAGACTGCTGAATTTTTTTTTTTTCTGCTTGATCTTTTTTTTATAAAGTCATGACCTAAGCCTTGTTGTATTTGTATCAAACCTACGTGTTGACTCGAGTTTTCATTTATTCTCACAAAAACAAGCCTTACGTCAGGCATAAATGTCAACTTCTGAGAATCACTCTATGATGTAATCTTTTAGTCTGGTTCTGAACAAGTTCTCTGAATCATGATTTTAACCATAAGAGCTAGTTTTACGGCTACCTGTATAGGAACAAACCAAAATGTTCTGTTTACAAAAATTGGTTTACTTCACATTCCCACTTGCGGACTTGCTGACAGCCAATCAGGGAACAGCACATGGAATACTAAAAGCAGGCGCGATGCCGATTACATGCAGAGTGCTATAAGCGCATGAAGTAAAGACCCGGGCTGTGTCTCTTTTAAGACTATCTTTAACGTACAGGCTGCTGCTGCTGCTCTCTGCTCCTGCACTTCCTCCAGGCACTACCTTGCTTATCATGTTTCTTCCTGTGTTCTTCTCCCACTTATTCACAACTTCATTTTTTGGTTTGGAATTTTTTTTCTCACAAGCGTTCCTTTCGCAGACAAGAGAGCTCATTGTCTTTGTCAGATGCCTCGGAGTGCCGGGCCCAGTATGGCTGTGTGCTGTGTGAGTGTCCCAGTTTGAGAAAAACAGCTGTCATATTCAGCCATCACATGCTGCACACAGCAGAGATTTAACACTTCACACTGACTTCAACTTCTCATTGGTTTTTTTCACAATGAGGAGGAAAGAACGAACTAAGCCTTGTTGTTCATTCCACATTATACATGGATGTCATAATGCATCACTGCATGTTTTTATATACTCTGTACAAACAATCTAGGACAAAACATTTTAAACGCAATATTGGATTGGAAAATCTGAATTTTCAAGTCAGCTTGAACGCAGAGGTTGATACCTCACGGAAGAAAGAAACGGTATTTTAATAAGCTCTTAATCCTCAGAACAACACAGGAGAAATAAATATTCTTGCCTATAGGAATCCCAATGATGCTCTGTGCACACAAATCACTTTGAACTGCACTGAACTGGAAACTCTGGCCGGAATCTTTGCATGGATTTGGGGACCAATCATAGAATGAGGAGGGACGGCAAGACAATGATGGCTTAGTGTTTGACAAACAGAAGCTTGTAGTTTGTTTATAGATCCAACATGAAAGCTTTTCTGATTTCTGCAAAGCAACATGCGTTATCAGGTACAACTGATATGATTGCTTTATACGTGCAGACGCATATGATAAATATTTGTAACAACCCAATAAATGCATATTTATGTCTCCTTTAATGACAGAGTGTTTGTATGCCAAAGTTGCTGGCTGACTTTCACCGTTAGTAACCGGGGCTTCTAAAACTGTGGACCTACTGTATCTGCTCTTCTTTGATCCTGTCACGCTGAGTCCACCAACTCAAACTCAAAGTCAGTGGCCCTCAGCTAATTCAAACTTTTTAGTGACAGCATGACAACAACTCAAGTTCTGCTGTAGTTTGTGCAAGTTAATGATGCAAAGGGTAAACTAATGTGACATTTTGTAACTCCAAGGCTTCCCAAAGTGAGACCCAGAGGCCAAATTCACCCCTGTCCACGATAGGATTCTGTGAGATTGATTGATTCATTCATTTTTAACCCCTTTATTAGTCAATTTCTGGGTTGGGGGGGGTGACAATCAGAGATGCCACCAATGCTCATTGCACCAGTCCCTCTGCAGGTGGTGAGTCCACAGGAAGATGGCTGCTACATCAGTGGTGCCAGAGCCTTGGTCTGGGTCTTTCAGCGGGGGCTTCAGGTGACGTGGGGTTGCCCAAGGACACAACAACAGCAGACATTAGTGGGAGCAGTTGGAGTAGGTCCAGTGGTGGGCTCAAACCTACGACCTTCAGGCCCAAAGGCCAATGCTCTACCAACTGAGCCCCTCTGTGAACGTAATAAGTATTCCTTTTGGCCCACTGAAGGAAAAGATTTGGGCATCCCTCTACACACTATTAGTTGATATATGAAGTTAAAATAAAATGTAGCCATCTAGCTTGTTATGACAATAATTATTATTGTACCATACCTGAATATATCTGAAAGTATAAGAGCAATCCGATCTTTCCCACTGACTGACTTCCAAACAAACCCATCAAAACCCCTTAACGTCAACAAAAATAAAATAAAAAACAATCTACACATTCAGAAGGATGCATTGGTGCCGTTAAGTGTAAAGCCATTAGCACATACAAACATGGGCCACTCACCACAGCTATGCTAATACCCTGCAGAATGTGTTGTAACTTGACTGACCATGGGCAGAGGATTTTGTAGCCTCTGCCTCAGCATGTCTTCTACAGCTCACAAAAACGCACAAACCAAACACCATCACTAATCACATTCCAAAAGCTATTAGGACAAAACCAATTTCTGTTATCTAAATCCACTCTCCTAACAAACAAGCCAGAAAGCAAGGATCTGGTTGGCTTGAGTTGTCTTCCCATGTCTAAGATATAAATAGCTAAGGTGAGATTAAATTCACTTTCAGATTGGTAATATGGTTGTTCTTAGGTGACCCTTCAGTGCATTTGGTGGAATCACTTTATCCTGCAGTGTCAGTGTGTTTGTAATCATGTCCATGTGAGTCTCTGGCTGATCTTGAAACAGAGACATGGAAAGGCTTATTTTCATGTTATTGATGGATTTCATGTTAAAAAAAAATTATAAAAAAGAGTAGATTGTAGAGTGTAACATGTTACAGGTGTTGATAATTGCATTTGTAATCAGCTGTAATACATGTTTAAAAGACAAAATACAAAACTAGGTACAAAAAATAGTCTCCCCAATGAAAGAATTTAAAAAACGGGTCAAATATGTAGAGTGGCAAAGAAGGCATGTGAGAATTTCAATCTTCTCTTTATCTCTAGAGAAATAGAGCGCTTTTCACAACTATTTTGTAACAGTAACTCTAGAGTATACAGTCTTATGGGAGTGGTGGTTGGTTATAAAGTAGTGGGAAAGTGCCAAATTGTTCCCATAGAAATAATATTTATCTGCATGGAATGTAATGTCTCTATTAAGTTCAATGCCAAATAAAAAAGTACCTTAACAGTTAGCGTAAGAATGCATTTAATCCCAATCTCTGTGAAATCATTTAAGCAGAGCAGACAATACAGACTATGTTTGTATTGTGTTTCATTGTATATTGAGTACATGACAATTTTAATTTTTAGGTGTCCCACGCTAAAACTGGGGTGGCAAACTTAAAAACCACAAGAACACAATGTAATACAAAAAAACAGTTCTATCAAAAGTTTACACATTTATCTTTTTTCACACATAAAAATCAAAAAGATCTCTCCGTCCTCACTCAAAACAGCCCAAAGCCTCAATTAGCCACTAAAAGGGCTCATTTGTACAAGTTATAGTCTGTAAAAACTATTTATACTTTTGTGTCTGATTTGTTCACATATTGGGGAAAAAATATGTCATGGGGGAAAAAAGGTTATGCACCCCAGCTTTAAGTGGTGTCAAAGCCAACATTAATATACTTATGTCATTACGTGTTTTTGTTTGATTTTATGAGTACCTACTTACTTACATACAAATATTTACACATATTTGTACTTACTTCCGCATTGAACGAGCTGTCATCTTCCGTCCCGCGCGCCCCGAGAGCCGCGCACAGCCAAAGCACGAGGAAGCTCCGTCTCCAGGGCAACCAGAGGCAGCAGTCTCGTGAGCGCGGGGCCATGGCGACAGTCCCTTCCTCTACGACCGTCGTCTTCTGCTTCTCAGCACCTTATCTCCCGTTTTACACCGTCTTCTTCACACAAAACTGCCCCTGAACAACTTAAATAAACTTTCCTTGTCGAAAATGAGTCTTTAAAGGTAAGTTTCCATGTTAAAATCGGGCGCGAGTCGAGATTTGTCATGAAGCAGTCGGCTCTTCATTCAACTTGAGGTACTTTTATGGTCGCGCACACAGCATGTAAAAATATATATTTCTATAAAGTCAAAAAACAATGCTCAAAATGTTATTTAAGAACAGTGCACGCCTTTCAAATTAACCTCAATGTCGTGCTTATGCTACTGTGCACCTGACAAGTTGCTTCTGGCTAAGCAAACAGGACAAAAGTGCACCCAGATTTGTCAAAACCGACCCTGAGATAAAAGTTGTGATACTGACAAAGTTCACCATACTCGGGCGACTCCTTCAGCGGTGACCAGCAGCAGTCCAGCGCAACCCATTAAAAAAAAAATCAATGTTGTATGAAAAAGAAAATTCTTCCTCTGGTTTCGTCTCCATACATGACGCTTGCACGCAGCGATCGTCGGTGTTTTTGCGTCCTACGGGTGTGCGTGTGATGTTCCCTCCGCGGAGTGCAGGACTTTCTGATCAGCTTCTGTGTTTAAGCTCCAAACCTGGATCTGCGACGGCGTCAAGCAGCCGAGTGTCACCGGAAGTACACCAGCTTTTCAAAATAAAGTGCATTTATTATGACCTGCGCCAAAGGTAAGTACGCATTTTTATAGCGTATGTTGGTGCCACACATTGATCTTAGAATAATACTGGTTTCATAATTCCACTAGTTGTTTTTTCGAACCGTAAAAACGTTCACTGTGTTTTCATTTATTTTTAAGGGATCTCAATTGTCCGTGTCCATACGTCTTTTTGACTCGGACAGGACGTATATGGCAGTGCCTTGAGATGCTGTTTGGTGTGCCTTTGGAAATGATCCAATATCAACTAATTGGTCAAGATAATTTGAGATCATTAGTAAGACTTTTTGAGCTTGTTTGATTTTCCACATAATGCATATAAGAATGACTGCATTGTTAATAAAGGCTGGATGTGTGACATGTTTTTGGTTCAATGAAGAAGGTGTGCCACAGCTCAAAATGGTTGGGGAACACTGGTCTATGGATTGAAGCGGGGGGCAGTAAAGTTGGTCAACTCAAATGACTCAAATCAGCAAAATAACAAAGTGAAACAGTAGACACAGTGCACAAGCTTTTTAAAATTACTTTAAATAAATAGTTTTAAAGCATTTTTTCCTTCTTCAAAATGTACTCAACGAGGCCTTTTGATTGATCCATGCACCTTTAAATAATACTGCTCTGCATTCTGATGAAGCTACTTCAGACTTATCCAGCCAGTGTCATTCATATAGAATTAAATAATGTGATTCCTACTACTGTGCATGGAAGGAGAAAAGGCATATCTGCTAATCACTTAAAGAATATTATATGGCACTTCCAACAATGAAAGACAAGTACATTTTTACAGAAATACTTTTAAATGTCAATATTTCAATATATATATCCCTTTACAAACTCGTGTGCAACAGTTTCTGTATTGTCATGGGCAATCTGATGGTCAGTTACTGCCCTCTACTGTTTGAAACGTTACATTACATAACACAGACGGACCTGGCAGATTTGATTTTACGTCAACTGTATTTCCCTGTGGTTTGTATAATCTATGGTATAGTCAAAATACCCCTCATACAATGTTCTGTTACTTTTTTTCTTATTGTTGTTTTTTCTCACTGTGTACCACAGGACAACACAATAACCACTTTCATAAACACACTGTCTCTTCAGTTCAGTGAAGTCTATTACAAATTACAGTTACACATTCACTCAGTTCACTTAGACCTAATTTTCCTGAAATCTGTTGCTTATCTACTAATGTTCACTTCTTGAAAAAAGCAATGTATAAATGTATTTCTTTATTTTCTAAAATGTAGGAGCAACTATTTATTCAAAATGGTTGAGATGCAGCTTGATAGTAAAAGTGCCTAAAACCAAGTGAGATGCCCCAATGAGGTCAATTTCAAGCTTCAAGTAGATATAGTGACTCAAAAAGTGATTCACTAAATGGATGAGGAAACCATTGAAGGTTTAAGATTTAAGAGGAAAATTATTATTATTAGAGTTTCAGAGGGTTCTTTGTGGTCGCGTGTTGGGGCGGCAATCTGACCTCGAGAGACCGTAACCGGCTCGACAGGCTGATCAGGAAATGTGTCTCTGTGATGGGGGGAAGTGTGGACTCTGTGGGAGCTGTGCTGGAGAGAGGGATGAGGGCTCTAATGCAGGGCATCCTGGGTAACTCCACACACCCTCTGCATGACACTATGGCCGCTCAGAGGGGAACGTTTTGAGAGATCTTTTGTTTCTTCGGCTGTCAGACTGTATAACAAACCTGGATGAGTCTTCTGATGCTTAACAACTGAATTTCTCCGACGGGGATCAATAAAGTATCTATCTATCTATCTGTTGAATGTTACTTGTGTTATAGCAGATGAACAGTTTGAGATACAGATTTCATAATTGGCTAATGTGGAGATAATTGATTGAGGAAGTTGTACATTTGAAAAAAAAACAAATCTGGTTAAAGTGTTATCATTTGACAGGAATCGTCCTTGAGAAATCGATTTCCTAAAGGTATGAACGAGGATATTACTTCCGGGTGGATCATCAAAACTATTGGTCCTCCCAGTTCGTCAAACAAGACCAGAGAGTTTTGTTCAGATTCAGATTCAGTTTATTTGCCATTTGCAGTAAAAAAAACACATTGGAATACATTAGCAAAAAGTCTCCAGTGTGCACAGACAAATACAGACATAAAACAACATTAAAAGTACGGAAATAAAACAAATAAAACAGTAAACAAGTGTCACGGTGAAATCGATCGGCTAAAACAGTTTCAAAACAAGTGCAAATCATTAAAGTGCTCATTATAAAGTGGAGGGGCGGATTTTTCCTCAAACTTGTGGAAATCTTCTTATATACCTTTCAAATGAACATATCCCTAAAACGTTATACTTCTGATCCACATTACATCACATTGCGTCAGTTTCTTTTCTATTTCAGAAAATGAATGGGACAACCGCACCGTTCACAAGTTTCTAGTATTTTTACCCGCATTAATGTACTCAATGCGCAATGGAAAGTTCTGTTTTCAGACTTGCTGTTGTACATTGTCGGTTATGTAAATCATATAGAAGGAAATACTGAAGCCTAAGACCGCCTCTCTCCTCCCTGTTGTATGAGGACTCGTTTTAGAATGCTCTTTTGTATGTTTCTAGTTAAAGGGTAATAGTTAAACCAGACTTTGCCAACAACAAAGACTCACTATTTATGTTGGGTAAGTTTTGTTTGTTGTTTTCTTGCATGTGTGTTCTAATGCATTTATATTATGTTTTTGTCTTGAAATGAATAGAATGATGAGATGGCTCCTGATCTGCGTTCTGATGGGGAAGGTTACTGGCCAATGTGGACCAAGTATGGAATTCATATATGTCTCTCTCTCTTTATAAAGAACAATGCAGTAATGTATCCCACAAAGTAAAATATTAAATGCTTGTTTCAGATGGTTGGACTTTTTCATGTATAATAGAGGCCATGCATAATGTGTCATTGCGTTTGGAAGAAGGCGACTTTAGGTATTTCAACATAAGTAATTTGATAACAGCTTTATTTATTGTCATTATTTACATGTAATAATTTTTAACTGTATTTAATTTCTTTAGCCTGTTATTCGAATTTGAGGAAGGTTTTGGAAGTGGCTATGTGATGGATATACATTCATTTTCATTTGGATGTTTTTTATCTTATGCTTACCGAATACCCTTTACTTTTCCTTTTCCTCCTTTTGAGGGTTTAACTATTTATGCCAGTGCAACTAAGGTAAGCTTTATATTAGAGATAACTTAAAGCACAGTAATGACATCGCAACTTTTCATAACATTTATCTACTCCTAGATATCTACTGACCCGATTCCAGACTTTAATGTAATTGTTCAGTTGCCACGGGAACTGGAAGTGAATTTCTTCCACAGATTGTCTTTCATTAGGATTTGTTTGCCCCAGATAGCTGCAGTATGTGAATTTAAACTTAACTAAAACTATTATCAACAACATTTTTGACTGTGGCTATACTAATAACATGTTTATTTTATATCTGAGGACCAGTTGGTGAACTCAGACTACCTGTATAATAACACACTGATCGGCCTGACTGTGATGGACGCAGAGGTTTCAGGTCTACGAGAAACGGTCAACATTAGCATGAATGTCTCCACATTGGAAACGGTCAATTACACACACATTATATCTCTGAGTTTATTTTATGATAAGAATAAATACAAATCAACCATTTCAATTTCAGGTAACCCACAGTCCTCGTTGTGTGTTTGTGAATGACTCCACTCAGAGTAAGTGTTTGCATTCCCCAAACGTTATTACATTTTAAAGACTGTTGTTTTGACTCATTCATGTTGTCAGGTGAGCTGTCATTAGACACTTACGGCTGTTCGACCCAGTGGACGCCTGGACAGAGCTATGTTGTCTGCTCCTGTGATCATCTCACTTTCTTCGGTGTGCTAATGGTTTGTTGGGTTATAAATTCAAGTTTTATTGTGTAATATTATTGTAATGTTGACATCCCACATGCAGTACATATGTTGTCTTTCAGATAACCAACAAGAAAACTACTGAAGACATCTCAGCTGTTGATAAGAAAACTCTGACGTACATCTCATTTATTGGCTGCAGCTTTTCCTTTTGTGCCCTCCTCGTTGCTATTGGGCTCTTCATCACAAACAGGTACACAGTCAGTAATGGGAAATATCTTTCCATGTGAACTTTGTGTAACCTCTCAATCAAACAGGGATTATTCAAAACAAAGGAAGGTTGCTCACCCATTATCTGTACTTCAGTTAGCAGGTTCTCCATTTGGAAATGTGTGACAATCTTAGCAGACCTTAGATGTGTTTACGAGTTAGCCTCAGGATCATGGGGTGTCTAACCACACCCACAGGTTATAAACCTGTGAGCGAAACGTTGGGAAAACCTGCTAACTGAAGTACAGATGATGGATGTATTTGTATTTTTATTTATTTAGATCTTCATTAGCTGTTCAACACAGCTATTCTTACTGGAGTCAAGCAAAGTGCATTAACAAAAATACATGACAATAATTATGCTAAAATGAAAACAAACAAAAAAATTATACAGATGACGACAAAAGGTCGTCATCTTCTATCATGTCTCTACGGCGGCCTGAGGATGATGTTGTTGAGCAAGTGATTATACTGGAGGGGTTTGCGCGTGTCGTGTTGTAAAGTTCCACTGCCCGCTACAGCCTTTCAGTCTTGTTCAGACTCGAAGCATGTTGTTGCCACAGCCATATTTGACACTGGGATAGTGCACTGAGGGGGAGGAACAGAGTTTTCCACCAATTGTTTTGCATTTAGGTCTTTTGGTTTTATGTGGACAGCTTTTGCATACCTCTTAATGCCACACAGTATGTAGCCTTTTAGTTTAGAGTACTCTGAATAGTATCATTACATTTAAAGACTAGATAGATAGATACTCTATTGATCTGTACAGTAGCAGCAATAATAGAAAATAAAACTGATCATTCTAAAAAGGTAACAAAATAAATAATAAGTCACAGCGGGCAGAGTGGGTGGAGCAGGACAGGTCACAGGGTGGTGTAGCCGCTTGGTTCGGACCATTTTCTATGCTCTAGTCCAAAGAAAAAGGCTGAATCCTTCATTAGCATTTTTCAAAAAGTTAGCATTCTAATAAGACTAATAATATAGGTCTACAACAAAACAGCCCAAAAGGTACCAAAACATTGCATACAGCTGATATCTTGAATTGTCTTTCATCATAATTGCTAGAAAAAGTACTTTGTTATACTATAAAAACTTTTACTTTGTTGCAATCCAGCCCTTGTCGTATTATACATGTGCTTTAACTTTTTTGCACTGCACTGTTCCATAGAAAAGTGCGATCAGACGTCTCCATGAAGATCCACGTGAACCTTGTCGCAGCCCTCCTCCTTCTCAACATGCACTTCCTCCCAAACGCTGCCACTGGAATCTGGACCTTCTCCTGGCCGTCCCCATGGCTCTGCTTCTACCTGGCCATTGGTCTGCACTTCTCACTGCTCAGCTCCTTCAGCTGGATGGCAGTAGAAGGATTTCACCTCTATCTCCTCCTGGTTAAAGTTTTTAACATACACGTCAGGAAATACCTGCTCAAAGTCAGCCTAGTGGGATGGGGTAAGGTTCATGCTGTGTTTGCCATTATAGTGCACATTTAAGAGGGTAGCTTCTTAAATTACACAGTGAAAGTTTACGCACTGAGGCAGAAAAAAAAAATGTCTTTCATATATTCATATTTTAGAGATTATGAATGATACCGCAACATATTATATTTTGCTCATTGTTAGTCGCTACTTGAAGCCCTTTAAAATAATTCAATAACATTTTCTATTACGAAGTTTTAGTGACAACAAATTACCCTGATTAGAAGTTTCCCCTAGTTCTCAATTATGTGTATTCCCTCTTTAACATCTATGACAGCTTTGTGTCTTTTGTGGTAGTTGTTATTTTAGTAGATCCATGGGTGGCATTCTTTATCCTCAGAGACCTCCCATTCTTCTCCAGTCTCCAGTTCCTATAAATTCCATGAACTGCACACTTTAGATCTCCACATATTGGCTTCATAATCTCCAAAATATGGCCAAAACAATGTAATTTCAGCCTGGGTGTGAAAAGCGTTTTGTAAATAACATAGTATAGTAAATAATTAGTAGTGTGTTCAATGTTGAGCGCAATAATAATCTAAGATGTCACTAAATATAATCCGGTGAATTCACTTCCTAAAGTACAGAACTTCAACTGATAAAAGGATTCTATTGAAATTTGTTCTAAGATATACATGTATTTTTTGCAAATTGTTAAACCTTTTTCTTATAATTGCAAATAAGTAGATCAGATTGGATGGGATAGGTCATGAGTGAAAACAGACATCTGACCACTGTTCTAAAAGTAGTCCTGAGCATGTAAAACAATTTTTTTGAGGAACTTTAGGTCCCGCCCCGACTTCATTCTTCAAACAAATGAAAGTTGTTGTTTAAAACACCATTTAACATTGTGATTCTCATATTTGGACATACCTACCTTTCTCCACAGGTTTTCCTACGGTTGTTGTGTCAATCGTGGTCATCATAGACAGAGATTTATACGGATCCGTGTCTCTGGACCAGTCTAACTCCACTGACATGTAAATATTATTTTACTTTAGATAATATCAAGTAGATTTTAAATGCTATTGTTTTTTTTGTCAGGTGCTACATTCGCGACGACGTTGTTAAATCCATTTCAACAATGGGGCTGTTTGGTTTGGTGTTTCTCTTCAACTTGAGCCTGCTAACGGTGGCAGTTAGGAATATCTTACGTTTGCGTAAGAGCAAACAGGTATCACACAGTGTAGCCTGATTAACTGGCAAAAGAAGAACTTATAAAGACAAAGTTATAGTATCTCATCATCTTTTGTTGTTAGTTTGGGCCAAATGACTGGAACCGAACGAAGAAGGACATCTGCACCCTGTTGGGAGTCACCACTTTGCTTGGAACCACATGGGGTCTTATCTTTTTCTCATTTGGCCAACTCACCACCATTGGATTGTACGCTTTTTCCATCCTGAATTCACTCCAAGGTGCGTTATTCCCATCTCCATAACAACTTTCCATTTAAATGAGTATATTGTGTATATTTTCTCCACATTTATTCCTGCTTCTGATATTTGCATGAGTTGAATGATGATGATGTCATTTCACCTATTTACTTTCACTTTATTTCCTGTTTTCAGGTGTATTTATTCTCGTGTGGTTTGCGATGTCCGTCTTAAAGATCAGAAAAGCATCAAGTATAATCTCTGAAACCCGGAGCTTGAATAATCTCAAACAAGCAGCAGACCAGAAGCTCTCATAACGTCGCTCACACTAGAGCTATTTTTGTATTTCAGCTACGCATTACAAAAATATAATGTTTTGTTAGTAAATAGAACAAGTATTTATTTTTAAAGACATCTATGCTAAGAAATACACACTATATATAATGTATTTGTCCTTTTTGTTCCATCTACCGTATTTTTCTGACCATTCCTGCATTTTGAAGGTTGCAGTTTATTTTTAGGTGCGGCTTAATTTTAATTTATTGTTTTGTTGCGCCAAAATAATTTCGTTGCTCTACAGTTAGTAGAGAAACAGAATTGATGAGTAGTTCGTAGAGGTCTAATTAAACGTTAGATTTGTCAATTAAGCAGATTGAATCAAGTCACTTATAATATCTTTGTGTAAAAAGAGTCCAGTAGATGTTGCTCCTTACCTTTCTGCTTCACACTGGAAGAGTCAGTGACTCACTTCTTTCTCTTACTCTTATTACTCACAGTAAAAAGAAGATGAACATTTTTTAGCTGCATTTTTCAGTATTATGTGGGATAGGTGCGGCTTCTCATCATCTGTGGCTTAGTTTGGAAAATACGGTACTTCTGGATTTTGTTTTACTGTTACTGTGACATCCTTCTCTGGGACTACATACTGTGTGTAAATTACCATCTTCTGCTCTGTCCTGGAACAAAGGATCTCTCCTGTGGCCAATGATTATGGTTATTTGTGCACTGTCCCTGTAACAATAAAAACACATGTTACACAGGAGCACATTTTAATTACTGCTGAAAATTAACTAACAATTATTGCCCACACTGATTTACATTGGCAAACATTACAGACAACTTATACATCATGAAAAAGCAAACGTCACCAGCTACAATCTAGAAACTGTGTATAAATGTGAAGACGATCAGCAAAGAAGACCTCAATGCATAAACATCAGGATAAACATCAGTGTGTATTCTATCGCAATGTTTGGATTTCATTTGATAGGAAATAGTGGAGTGCATGGACACGATATATCTATAAAAAAACAATAATCACTTTAAGTGACTTTACACCTTTACGACTTTTACTGACAAATTTGCAAATGCAGATTAACAGAGGTAAATGGACTTTTGAACTGAGGTTTCACCCATATGTGTCTTTCTCTGCACAACTTTCTCTTCTTTTTTTACACAGATTAAGATTCCAATCGATGCAGTTCATTGCAGTTTATGTATGACAGGCAAATACTGTCATACATAAGTTATATTGGTTGTGAACGGCTTTCTTCACTGCTTTATCCATTGCCGTATTTGTATTTTCTCATTTAGTATTCTTGTCTCAATTATTCTACACACATAATAATAATAGGTTTAATCCATATTAAAACATATTAGATATACTTCCTCCAATAGTAAAAAGGTAGACCACTCCATTGCTATCCATGTGCTCTGCTCTTTTACATGGATGGCATTTGAAGCTCTATTTGCTGCTGATTAAAGTATTCAACACCAACTTCAAACACTACATGTTTAAAATGTCTGTTGCTGGATGGGATGAGTTTAAACAAAATATGTGCACACATTGAGGATAGTTGCATAGTGTTAAAAATGTTATTACTTAGCAGATAAGATGAGATAGACTTTATTGATCTCACACAGGAGAAATGTACATGTCACATCTGGCACGGATAGAAACACTCAAGATTGTGCAAAAAAAAGAAATGTGCAAACATGTTAAATGCAGGATATGTTATGTACAAACAAAAGTGGCAGTCAAGAAACAATAAGAAGTAAAGGTTTTTCCAGTCCTAATGCAAGTGACTTAAAATGACTTATTGTACAGTCTGACAGCGGTGGGGAGAAAGTTCCTGCGGTAGCGCTCCTTCTTCCACTGAAGGAGCTCCTCAGCTCCTCTACAGTCCTGTGCAGTGGGAGGTGTTGTCCATGATGGAGGTGGCTTTGACTAGCACCTCCTGTCCCTCACCTCCTCCACAGAGTCCAGGGAGCAGCCCAGAGTGGAGCTGGCCCTCCTGACCAGCTTGTTCCGTCTACTCCTGTCCTGCTCTGTGCTGTCCGAGGCCCAACACACGGCAGCGTAGTGGATGGCAGAGGTTACCACAGAGTCATCAAAAGTTCTGAGCCAGGATTTACTCGTGCAGGACAGATTCCATGGAAAAAGTGACTTGGATTCTATTTGCTAAGAGTATTAAGATTAGTGTTTTATTTCTAATATCTGGATATCAAACACTGACTGTTTCAACAGGGTCTTGTGTTCTTTGTCTGTTCTTTTTGGAAACCTAAATTAATATGTTAATTTGTAAAATCTATAAAAATATGAAATTGGTAAATGTAGATGTAATCCCTGATCTGACACGTGATTGTTGAGGATCTGAAACTGCTTGCACAGGCTGCCACAGTTGTCACATTTTTTGCCACTGTCCTGTGCTCTATGTGTAAAGGCTTGTTTCTCTATGGACCACAATGTAAGTAATAAAGTAAGTAAGACATCTTTATTTACAGTATATCAATCAAATTTTATTTATAAAGCGCTTTTCATACAAAAGATGCAACACAAAGTGCTTTACAGTTTGGTTAAAAACAATCCCGCCGGCCCAAGACCCCTCCCCCAGACCACCCAACAGACACCCCAACACACACGCTCTCATGAACACTCTCACACACACACACCACTGAAGGAGCTCCTCAGCTCCTCTACAGTCCTGTGCAGTGGGAGGTATTGTTCATGATGGAGGTGGCTTTGACTAGCACCTCCTGTCCCTCACCTCCTCCACAGAGTCCAGGGAGCAGCCCAGAGTGGAGCTGGCCCTCCTGACCAGCTTGTTCCGTCTACTCCTGTCCCGCTCTGTGCTGCCCGAGGCCCAACACACGGCAGCGTAGTGGATGGCAGAGGTTACCACAGAGTCATCAAAAGTCCTGAGCCTCAGCCTGCTCACTCCGAAGGACCTCAGCCTCCTCAGAAGGAAGAGGCAACTTTGGCCCTTCTTGTACAGGGTGTTGGTGTTATGGGACCAGTCCAGTTTATTGTTAATGTGAACACCCAGATACTTGAAGCTGTCCACCAGCTCGATGTCCTCCCCCTGGATGTTCAGCAGCGTGTGGGAAAGTGGTTTTCTCCTGAAGTCGATTACCATCTCCTTGGTCAGGGACCTTCTCCAGGCTGAGGCTCAGGTTGTAGATTACTTGATTTATTTTAGTATTGACAAAAAAAACAAAACAAAAACAAATATCAGTTTAGAAAAGTGCAATTCTACAAAAAGCAAAGATACCATCCAGAACCCAGACGCTTCTAGGACCTGAGCTTGGAGGGTATAAATAAAGTCAAATAACGATATCACAGCTGAATGACCAGACCAGAACAAACCATAATTGAACTGGTTGTCCATAGTACTATCCAGTTAAAGACCAGGATTTACTCGTGCAGGACAGATTCCAGGGAAAAAGTAACTTGGATTCTATTTGCTAAGAGTATTAAGATTAGTGTTTTATTTCTAATATCTGGATATCAAACACTGACTGTTTCAACAGGTTCTTGTGTTCTTTGTCTGTTCTTTTTGGAAACCTAAATAAATATGTTCATTGGTAAAATCTGTAAAAATATGAAATTGGTAAATGTAGATGTAATCCCTGATCTGACACGTGATTGTTGAGGATCTGAAACTGCTTGCACAGGCTGCCACAGTTGTCACATTTTTTGCCACTGTCCTGTGCTCTATGTGTAAAGGCTTGTTTCTCTATGGACCACAATGTAAGTTATAAAGTAAGTAAGAAATCTTTATTTACAGTATATCAATCAATCAAATTTTATTTATAAAGCGCTTTTCATACAAAAGATGCAACACAAAGTGCTTTACAGTTTGGCCCAAGACCCCTCCCCCAGACCACCCAACAGACACCCCAACACACACCCCAACACACACACACGCTCTCATGAACACTCACACACACACATACACACACACCAGTAAAACAGTAAAACCATGATGAGAGACTTGGCAGGGTTCAGATGCAACCAGCTGAAAAAGCGTCATCCAAGGAGCCGTCTGCACCAGTAGCAGAGAGGGGCCACAGGGGACGACACAGGACCCAGAGGAGACACGAAACCGAGGCCCCAGGCCCCCACCAGGTAAGTAAGTAAGTAAGTAAGTAAGCTTTTATTTATATACCGCCTTTTCACTGCACATCGGAGTCTCAAAGCAGTTTACAATTGTTGGGTGGGGGTGCCAGTACAGGAGGCACATGCCATACCTATTGTACATATTTTTAGTGGTAGGGGAAACCGGAGCACCCGGAGGAAACCTACGCAGACACGGGGAGAACATGCAAACTCCACTCAGAAAGGCCCTGGTCCAACAGGGATTCGAACCCAGGACCTTCTTGCTGAGAGGCGAGAGTGCTATCCACTCAGCCACCGTGCCGCCACGGCACCAGGCCCAAGAGCCAGACCCCCGCAGCCACACCGACCACCGCTCCCAGTGCAGAGGGCTCCTCCAGAGGAAACACTGGGTACACTAAAAACAATACAATAAGTAAAACACTAAAGTGTGAGACTAAAAGGAACTAACACACAATACATGAATAATAGCAATAGCAATGTAATAAATAATAAATAATACAAGATAAATAGAATAGCTTTTGATTAGTATTTATTATTCCAATCTAAAAAGGTGTGTCTTGAGCTCCTCCGGCAGACTGTTCCAGAGACGGGGCCGTAGTGCTGGAAAGATGCCTCGCCGTGAGTGTGTGTCCTGACTTTGGGGATGGTTAGGAGTCTGCTGCCGGAGGAGCGCAGGGGCCGGGAAGGCTCATAGGATAAAAGCAGTTCTGAAAGATAAGAAGGCCCAAGACCATTAAGACATTTAAAAACCATTAAAAGAACCTTAAAATCGATCCTGAAACACACGGGGAGCCAATGCAGCGATTTTAAAACCGGTGTAATGTGGTCCCGCCCCCTGGTCTTAGTCAGGACACGTGCGGCCGAGTTTTGGAGTAATTGAAGACTTGCAATATTCTTTTTGGGAAGACCAGAGAGCAGGGCATTACAGTAGTCAATGCGACTGGTGATAAAAGCATCAGCGTCTCCGTGTTGGCCCGAGAGAGAATGGGGCGGACTCTGGCGATGTTCTTCAAGTGATAAAAACCTATTTTTGTGATGTTCTTGATGTGAGGAATAAAAGTCAGCTCAGAGTCAAAGATTACGCCCAGGTTTCTCACTTGTGATGATGGATTAAAAGAGTGTGATTGGAGTTTTGATAAAAGTTTCTCTCTCTGGGCCTCAGGACCGATGACTAAAACCTCAGTTTTGTCCTGGTTAAGCTGAAATTTCTGTCATCCAGGATTTCAGGTCTAAAATGCAGTTAAAAAGAGCATCCATTGGCCTGGTATCACCAGGAGACATGGAGATATACAGCTGTGTATCATCAGGAGACATGGAGATGTACAGCTGTGTATCATCAGGAGACATGGAGATGTACAGCCGTGTATCATCAGAGACATGGAGATGTACAGCTGTGTGTCATCAGGAGACATGGAGATGTACAGCTGTGTATCATCAGGAGACATGGAGATGTACAGCTGTGTGTCATCAGAGACATGGAGATGTACAGCTGTGTATCATCAGGAGACATGGAGATGTACAGCTGTGTATCATCAGGAGACATGGAGATGTACAGCTGTGTGTCATCAGAGACATGGAGATGTACAGCTGTGTGTCATCAGAGACATGGAGATGTACAGCTGTGTATCATCAGGAGACATGGAGATGTACAGCTGTGTATCATCAGGAGACATGGAGATGTACAGCTGTGTGTCATCAGGAGACATGGAGATGTACAGCTGTGTGTCATCAGAGACATGGAGATGTACAGCTGTGTGTCATCAGGAGACATGGAGATGTACAGCTGTGTATCATCAGGAGACATGGAGATGTACAGCTGTGTATCATCAGAGACATGGAGATGTACAGCTGTGTGTCATCAGGAGACATGGAGATGTACAGCCGTGTATCATCAGGAGACATGGAGATGTACAGCTGTGTATCATCAGGAGACATGGAGATGTACAGCTGTGTATCATCAGAGACATGGAGATGTACAGCTGTGTGTCATCAGGAGACATTGAGATGTACAGCTGTGTATCATCAGAGACATGGAGATGTACAGCTGTGTATCATCAGGAGACATGGAGATGTACAGCTGTGTATCATCAGGAGACATGGAGATGTACAGCTGTGTATCATCAGGAGACATGGAGATGTACAGCTGTGTATCATCAGGAGACATGGAGATGTACAGCTGTGTGTCATCAGGAGACATGGAGATGTACAGCTGTGTATCATCAGGAGACATGGAGATATACAGCTGTGTATCATCAGGAGACATGGAGATGTACAGCTGTGTATCATCAGGAGACATGGAGATGTACAGCTGTGTGTCATCTGCATAACTGTGGAAGTTAATTCCATGTCTCCTGATGACACCGCCAAGAGGGAGCATGTACAGGTTAAAAAGGACTGGACCTAAAATGGAACCCTGGGGCACACCACATGTGATTTTATGGACCTGAGAGGAGCAGGTATCCAAACTTACCATGAAGGATCTGTCTGTACCGCCTTTCACAGACCAGAGTCACAAAGAGGTTTACAATTGTGGTCATTTGTCCTTTTATACACCCCACTCCCATCTCTGTGTGGAGTGAGGTGTATAAAAGTGTTGTCAGCCCAGGTTCTCATACATATACAGTATATGCCTCCAAATGAGTGGTAGGTCCTCTGAGGTAAAACAAGATTGTAGGTTTTAAAAACTAGTATTCTTTTTCTTTTAAAAGCACTTTAGATTTGAGAGATTTGAAAAACTACCAACGTTCCGTTCTCCAGAAACATATCGGAAAACAGTCTGGTTTTAGGGTGAACCACAACACAGAAACTGGTCTCTCAAAGGTTTTAAATGATGAGACCGAAATTCCTGGATGGCAAAAAGTCTTTCTCCAACTTAACCAGGACAAATCCAAAGTTGTAGTTTTGATCCTAAGACCCAAAGACATACTTTCACTCAAACTCCAAACACATTATTTCATATTTTACCTCCCACATCATAATGAATCAGTTTTATACAGCGCCCGTATATAACATTACTGATATATAACAGTAATAATGCTCACCTGAATCACAGGGACTGAGCTCATAGACAACAGCATCCATCAACTGGTTCCAGCATGGTTCAACTTGAGTTACCTCAATACCTCGAGTATAGAAGAAAATACAAACCCCAAGTAAGTAAATAATGTTTATTTTTATCGTGCACTTTACAGACCAACGACACCCAAAGTGCTTTACAATGTTCAGAGTTCAGATATTGTTCTAATCATTCTCTCCACACACAGAGAGTGAGTCGAATACACTTGTGCATCAAAGCCCCCAATAAACACCATCCATTCATACCTATTGTGTATGTTTATAGTGGTAGGGGAAACCAGAGCACCCAGAGGACACCAACGCAGGCATGGGGAGAACATGCAAACTCCACCCAGAAAGGCCCCAACCAGGATTCAAACCCAGGACCTTCTTGCTGAGAAGCGAGAGTGCTATCTACTCAGCCAACGTGCCGCCCGATCTCGACATTGGACACATTAAATGAGGACTAGGATCAAAGACGATTTATGTGACTGCATCTCGGGGCCATCAGTACTTCAGCTTCCGTGTATGTTATAATTAAAATACAATTGGATTTTTCCCCATTAAATCAACTAATAAATGCAAACTAAAAGGTTGTTGTAATCTGTAATCAGCACTTTCTCAGATGCATCAAAATAAACACGAATTATAATAAGTTTCTGGTTCGTTTTAGTTTACCTACATCCATTCGCTCAGTGAGTTGTTTTTCTGGTTATGTAAATCAGATAGAGGGAAAAACAGATATGTAAATCAGAATTCTTGAACATTCATATTTGAATGCTCAATTGAATATTTCTAGTTTAGAATATTGTCTCAGGTGCCTTTGCTCGCTCACAAACTAAAGAGAAGGATAAAGGCTACTTGTGTTGGGTAAGTTGTTTTGTGTTCTAATCCTCTATGGTTCTAATGCATTTATATGTATGTTTTGTCTTGAGATAGCATGATGAGATGGATCCTGTTCTGCGTCCTGACTGTGAATGTTCATTTTATAAAACCTTCACATTCAAATACAACTGAAGAGATCCCTTCAACATCTACAAAATCATCTGAAGAGATAGATTCAACATGTTTGTTTGAAGAAATTGATTCAGAATCAGCTTCAGAATCATCTGAAAAGATAGATTCAACATCTTCAAAATCATCTGAAGACAGTCTTGCACAGTATTGGAAATACTATGGAAGACTACCCCACTGGGTTTCAAAATTGTGTGAAAAGACCGATTCATCATCATCCTTTTCATCCCTTTGTTTACATTTCAGAGCTTCCATCCAATACAGAGGAAATAAACGTCATTATTCAAATAGATATTCAGGTATGAAATTTATCTTTCTATAGAGCTGGGCCTGAACATATTAATTTAATAATTGACTAACTTGAATACAGTAATATTTCCACAAAAATGACATCTGAAATGTGATTTTCAGCTGAAGTAAAAAAGTTCATGGAAAATGTACTAAAGTCTTTGGATAAAGGCAACATAAGGTATTTCAACAAACACTGATGAGACGAGAGCTCGAGTTGGTTTAACTGTATTTGATTTAGTTCTTTGCTAGAATTTGCGAGGGGATTAGGACGTCTGAACTCTGCAACGCTTGTCTCTGCAACTCTTGTCTCTGTTCGAAATTTTCTATCTTATTCTTACCAAAAACCCTCGTCTGCTTCCAATTTTGAGGGTTTAACTCTTTTTTCCAATGCCACTGAGGTAAGCTTTATATTTTATATTTACAAATAAGTCTTTAAAGGGAAACTTACTACAATGTAATAAAATAATATTTCAACTGTGTCTCATAGATATCTACTGAATGGATTCAAGACTTTAATGTAATTGCTCAGTTGCCACGGGAACTGCCTGTAGATATATTCCACAGATTGTCTTTCATTGTGATCCCTTTACCCCAGATAGCTGCAGTATGTGAATTTAAACTTAACTAAAACTATCATCAACAACATTTTTGACTGTGGCTATACTAATAACATGTTTATTTTATATCTGAGGACCAGTTGGTGAACTCCTCAGACTACCTGTATAATAATAACACACTGATCGGCCTGAGTGTGATGGACGCAGAGGTTTCAGGTCTACGAGAAACGGTCAACATTAGCATGAATGTCTCCACATTGGAAACGGTCAATTACACACACATTATATCTCTGAGTTTATTTTATGATAAGAATAAATACAAATCAACCATTTCAATTTCAGGTAACCCACAGTCCTCGTTGTGTGTTTGTGAATGACTCCACTCAGAGTAAGTGTTTGCATTCCCCAAACGTTATTACATTTGAAAGACTGTTGTTTTGACTCATTCATGTTGTCAGGTGAGCTGTCATTAGACACTTACGGCTGTTCGACCCAGTGGACGCCTGGACAGAGCTATGTTGTCTGCTCCTGTGATCATCTCACTTTCTTCGGCGTGCTAATGGTATTTTGGGTTATAAGTAGGGGTGTCAAAATGATCGCGTTAACGCACGTTAATTACATTTTTTAATTAATCGTGTTTATAAAAATGTACGCATTTCATGCATGTACCCGCCCATGCATCCCATAATAACACATGCGTGTGAAGATGGCGACAGAGCAGTTAGGCCCTCTGGGAATTCAAGTTTAAAAAGGATAGGCGCGTGACCGAGGGGCACTTGCTGTTGTTTGCTGTTTGTACTGAACGGGAGCATTTTCCGCGGCCACAGCGTTCTGACCCAGGGCAGCTGTGGCCGCTCTTTACAGCGGTTCCCACCTCCAGCTGCTGTGAGCCGCTTTGACTATAACACGGCGAACGGCGCCGCCGTAACGTCATATCCAAGTCCATACACGCACAGACAACTATTCTCTGCTTGTGTGCGTGTCTTTGCATAACCTGTGCACGCAATAAATAAACCGCTGAAGCTGGACTATGGAGCCTCGGTCTCCTCCGTGTCTTCTCCCGAAGCGCACTCGCTAAATTAAGGCCCCGTTTATAATAAACAAATACAGTACATACATAGGGCTGCACGGTGGCTGAGTGGATAGCACTCTCTCCTCTCAGCAAGAAGGTCCTGGGTTCGAATCTTGGTCGGACCAGGGCCTTTCTGAGTGGAGTTTGCATGTTCTCCCCGTGTCTGCGTAGGTTTCCTCCAGGTACTCCGGTTTCCCCTACCACTAAAAACATGTAAAATAGGTCTGGCATGTGCCTCCTGTACTGGCCCCGATCTCTGTGTGGAGTGACAGACTACTGCCCAAAAATAACAATTGTAAACCGCTTTGTGACTCTGGTCTGTGAAAGGCGCTATATAAATAAAGATTACTTACTTACACTATGTTGTCATTTATCTTTCCATTCAAACAACTATTTACAGAAAAATATGGCATAACTTTGACGATAGTTAGAAATGTGATTTATTTCAATTAATTAATTTTAAAGCTGTAATTCACTCAATTGAAAATTGTAATCGTTTGACAGCCCTAGTTATAAGTTATATTATTATATTGTAATATTGACATTCAACATACATATGTTGTCTTTCAGATAACCAACAAGAAAACTACTGAAGACATCTCAGCTGTTGATAAGAAAACTCTGACGTACATCTCATTTATTGGCTGCAGCTTTTCCTTTTGTGCCCTCCTCGTTGCTGTTGGGCTCTTCATCACAAACAGGTACACAGTCAGTAATGGAAAATATCTTTCCATGTGAACTTACTGTGGTTGATAATCGTTAAGTGAGTAACTGTGCTAAACCCTTACAAAGAAATTAAAGTGAATCTTGAACTGTTTGCTTTAAGAACTGGATTACGTTTGTTATTTCATTTTCCGTGTAAGGGGTTTGTAACACATGCTTGTCTTTTTTTCCCATTCTACAAGATCTACCATTGGATGGATCATAATTTAGATTATGTTTTAACTTTTTGTTCACTTTAAAATTGTGTTTACCTCACTCAGATATATAATCCTTGCCATAATGAAGTCATACATACATGTATTTCCCCACAAAAAAAATGAAGATGTGAAATAATTAAAAAAATATATAATTAAAAAAATATATATTCAAAAAAAAAGAATATTTATCAAACATCCAAGTCTCAAATGCTGCACAGTTGAAAAAGTATAGTACTTTGAATACCATAGCCAAACGAAAGAGTAACCATAAAGGATAGACTTGGGCAAACTGCGGGCCGGGGGATAAAAATGGCCCGAGTTACATTTCTGTGCGGCCCCTGGATCCTTCTCAGAAATAATGTCAAAAACATGTATCTGTTAATCAGTCTACAATACTCAAGCTTTTAAAGTTATGTTCCAGTTTTTTTTTTCTAATTCTGTCGGAAGAGAACAGCAAAAAACGGCCTCGGTAGAGTGGTCCGCCCATTAAAAGCGGGTTGCCCATGCTATTACCTACGGTATATGTAGAAAGGAAAGCCGAGGATGAGGGGAAAAAAATCCATTAAAAAATTCAGGTTTGCACCTACTTTCACTGCGCACTTGTTCACTGTGATTATGAATTTTAAACATTGCATTTTGGTTGCACATCCCCGTGGTTTCCTTTTCCACGTTTACCGTAAGTAACAGCATAAAGGGGCAACCCGCTTTAAATGTGCGGACCACTTTACTGCCACGTCGAAAAGCCGGGTCACTTTACCACGGTGAAAAACGCAAGAAATGGTTTGACCAATGTATGTGGTCATCCCAGGTCTCATCTGGGGCTTTGAATTTGTTCAGTTCGGTCTCATATACTTATTTTTAGCCTGTCTTTATATCTCCTCTGATCTTCTTGCGTTAAAGTGCTTATATACAATGCATTTTGCCCACTGAGTCTTTTCAGAGTACTTGTCGCAACCATGCTTCAGTATGGACCACTCTGTCTTCTTGCCACCCAGCGAGTGGCGCACGGGGATGTAAACAAAGATCCTCCTACAATATATGTCCAAAATACTTCATAATGTAGAAAAGTTAATTAAAACAAAACAATAGCTCGAGATTAGCTATAAACAAACACAAAGAAAACACAAGTATTTTAGTTTATATTTCATGAATAAATATAATTAATAATTATTTGTATTTGTCACTTCACAATGTGATCCATGGAGAAAATATTATCCCATCCTTGATATAGGAATACCCACAACAACCCAACAACCTTTACATCTACAGTCTGTCATCCATGATTGAAAAAGTACATTTCTGTGCCATAGAAAAGTGCGATCAGACGTCTCCATGAAGATCCACGTGAACCTTGTCGCAGCCCTCCTCCTTCTCAACATGCACTTCCTCCCAAACGCTGCCACTGGAATCTGGACCTTCTCCTGGCCGTCCCCATGGCTCTGCTTCTACCTGGCCATTGGTCTGCACTTCTCACTGCTCAGCTCCTTCAGCTGGATGGCAGTAGAAGGATTTCACCTCTATCTCCTCCTGGTTAAAGTTTTTAACATAAACATCAGGAACTACCTGCTCAAAGTCAGCCTAGTGGGATGGGGTAAGGTTCATGCTGTGTTTGCCACTGTGGTCGAGGTAGTTTCTTATTTAAGATATTTTAGACAATAGCTGAATAAGAATATTCAAAGGTAGGTCATTATCTCGCATCATAGCACGCTGAACTCAAAACAATTCTTAGATTTGAAACTGTTGCATTGACTTCCTAAAGTTTAGAATAGAAAAGATAAAACATTATATTTAGGTATTTATGGTTTTTGGTCTCTATATTAAAAATGCAATGCAATTGACAAATGGCTTTACATTTTGTAATTTTAGTATTAATTTGAGATTTGTATACGCAATATGGAAGTATAATATTTATTTTACATTCTTTAAATACGTTTTAGATTCTCCTGTCGTACACTAGTACTGATCATGCTCTTTGAAAGAGGGTTTTCACTGTGATCAACATGAAGTCGACAGTCTGCTGCCAGTGGTTCATGGTTGGAGACAGACTCGTGTTGTTCACATGAGGACGCTGCCTCAGTAAAACGTTAGAGTTGGTATTGGATTGGCCTTTCATTTACATGAAGACAGTGTTTCAGGTGAAAACGAAAGCGTTGAGAAACAGCCTGTGTGAAGAAAAAGGTGTAATTCACTTCTGCTATGACCTGACCACCTCACCGTACGTACATTTGGACATGTGCAGTAGCCGAGAGCAAACATAAACAGTAACGTCGGCAGATCAACTAATGCTACGTTTTCGCAGCTACTCTTAAATGCATAATGGTTTTGGTGCATTGTTTCCCGGCTTTACGGCGGCCTGAGGAGGATGTTATTGATGAAGTTATTATACTGATGGGGGTTGTGCGTGTCGTGTTGTAAAGTTCCACTGCCTCCTACTGCCCGGGCGCTAGAACTACATCGTTTAATAAGGAGCCTGGTAATTTTTGCTCATTGCTTTGTAGCGTCTCCGCAGCGTCTCTTTCTAAACGGGGCCATACATTCCAAAATGTAAAGCAATTTTACAATATGGTCAAATTGTATAGTGTGGCATTTTGAACAAAGAGACAAAAAAACGTCCATATAAAAATGCTATCAGCCCATACATTACCTGGATAGCTTAAAGCTGCACTACCTTACTTTATTTTTGTATTCATTACGAAAATGCAATCCATTTCCATGCAGTGTATTGGGATATACGTCCTTTTGAAGAATAAGTAGCGCAAGTTTGTGCTGGCGGGGTTTTTTTTTTTTTTTTAGATTGAGTTTTCATGCAACAAGGAAGAGAATTTGTTTCGAGACCAGATTGTGACCAATCACAACAAACCACTGGCCCCCACTTTCTTGAGAAATCTACAGGTCTTTCGTTAGCGCGCACAGACATTTGAGTTGAGATAAACAAGCGGCAGAGCTAACCTGACGCTTCCCGTGTCTTTGTTACCGGTTACTGCTTACACAGCGAAACAGCCATTCAAAAGAAAGTCTCGTCCTCTGCGCTTCCTGGTTCTATCATTCCATGGTCACGCCATCCACGTTCAAATATTGTGAGACGCTAGCTCTGTAAACAACAGTGGGAGGGGGTTAGTGGGGGGCGATAGCTTCGTGGGTGCGGGGAGGGGAGTAGAAAGAGCGAGCCCAGCGCTTACTTTTCAAACGGCTGCTTCAAAACCAAAAGTTAGTCCAGCTTTAAAGTTATACAGGGGGATTGTCTACTCCCGGTTGGATCCTTAAGACTTTTGGTCCTTCCAATTGTCAATCAATATCAATCTGGTGATACGTGCTCGTCAAATAAGACCAGAGAGTTTTCTTCAAAAAGTGGAGAGGGCAGTTCTTTCCTAAAATTTGGGAAAATCCTCCCGTATAACCTATAAGCAGTACAAAAACTATTCTATTTTATCTAGGTCATTTACATCACGTCTGCTTTGTTTGCACCATTTAACATTGTGATTCTCATATTTGGACATACCGACATACCTACATACAGTGGGGCAAGAAAGTATTTAGTCAGCCACCAATTGTGCAAGTTCTCCCACTTAAAATAATGACAGAGGTCTGTAATTTTCATCATAGGTACACTTCAACTGTGAGAGACAGAATGTTAAAAAAAAAATCCAGGAATTCACATTGTAGGATTTTTAAAGAATTTATTTGTAAATTATGGTGGAAAATAAGAATTTGGTCACTTCAAACAAGGAAGATCTCTGGCTCTCACAGACCTGTAACTTCTTTAAGAAGCTCTTCTGTCCTCCACTGGTTACCTGTATTAATGGCATCTGTTTGAACACATTATCTGTATAAAAGATAGCCCAAAACGATATTTCAACCACTGATAATCTCACTCAATCTGGGGCTCCACGCAAGATCTCATCCCGTGGGGTCAAAATAATCATGAGAACGGTGATCAAATATCCCAGAACCACACGGGGGGACCTGGTGAATGACCTGCAGAGAGCTGGGACCAAAGTAACAAAGGTTACCATCAGTAACACACTACGCCGACAGGGAATCAAATCCGGGGGGGCAGTAGCTCAGTTGGTAGAGCGTTGGCCTTTGAGCCAGAAGGTCGTGGGTTCAAGCCCCGCTCAAGACATTCACCATCGACTCCCACTGACTACTGTCGTTGTGTCCTTGGCAAGACACTTAACCTCTGGGAACACCAGCCACAGTGGGGCGGCTGCGGCTGTAAAGTGCCAAACTGCCGTTGTGTCCTTAGGCAAGACACTTCCCCCCCATTGCCTAGAATGAGTCTGGTGTGTGTGTGAATGGTTGGTGGTGGTCAGAGGGGCCGATGGCACAGACTGGTTGCCTCGCTTCTGTCAGTGTGCCCCAGGGCAGCTGTGGCTACAGTAGTAGTTTATCACCACCGTGTATGGAGTGAATGAATAATGACACATGTGAAGAGTCTTTGAAGCGCTATATAAAACCGATTTATTATTATTATTATTAAATCCTGCAGTGCCAGACGTGTCCCCCTGCTGAAGCCAGTGCATGTCCAGGCCCTTTTGAAGTTTGCCAGAGAGCACATGGATGATTGGGAGAATGTCATGTGGTCAGATGAAACCAAAGTAGAACTGTTTGGTATAAACTCAACTCGTCGTGTTTGGAGGAAGAAGAATACTGAGTTGCATCCCAAGAACACCATACCTACTGTAAAGCATGGAGGTGGAAACATCATGCTTTGGGGCTGTTTTTCTGCTAAGGGGACAGGACGACTGATCCGTGTTAAGGAAAGAATGAATGGGGCCATGTATCGTGAGATTTTGAGCCCAAACCTCCTCCCATTAAGCTGAATTTGTGTTATTGACCAAATACTTATTTTCTAACCTGGCAAGAGCCAGATTGATGATTGTGTAGAACTCTAACGCGTTCTCCGCGATATCAATCTGGGATTTCTCCCGGAGAATCCTTTCGGGGAAAGGAGGGATAAGCAGCAGAATGCTTCAAGCTGATTGGGCGAAGTGACGCTGTGTGCCCGCCTACACTCTTGCCAAAACCCGTAGGTAAAAATGCACAAACATCTTTGCCGTCCAGAAATGCACAAAGCGCCTCTCGCTGTTCATCTTTCAAAAAAGAAATTGGAGATTCTGCTAAAACTGACTTGATAGCCTCAGCTACGCGTCCGTCCTCCTGCGTAGCCATGTTTGTTTTGCTTCGGCCCGGCACTTCTTGCTTTCGTCAAACCCGGATATCCCGCCCTAAACCCCCAGACTGGCGCGTGATTGGCTCGCACACCCAGTGGTTCGACTCGAAAAGTGTAAGCGGGAGCGGTACAAGATGTATTCTCGAGTGTTTGTGAACTCACAAATACCGCGAGAATTCAGCTTGCAGGCAAGGTTACTTATTTTCCACCATAATTTACAAATAAATTCTTTAAAAATCCTACAATGTGAATTCCTGGATATTTTTTTTCACATTCTGTCTCTCACAGTTGAAGTGAACCTATGATGAAAATTACAGACCTCAGTCATTATTTTAAGTGGGAGAACTTGCACAATCGGTGGCTGACTAAATACTTTTTTGCCCCACTGTACCTACTTCTTTCTCCACAGGTGTTCCTACGGTTGTTGTGTCAATCGTGGTCATCATTGACAGAGATTTTTACGGATCTGTGTCTCTGGACCAGTCTAACTCCACTGAGATGTAAATATTATGTTACTTGTGTGTATATCTTCAGATCTTGATAATTGTTTTCTTCGATTTCAGGTGCTTCATTCGTGATGACGTTGTTAAAGCGGTGTCTACGATGGGGCTGTTTGGTTTGGTGTTTCTCTTCAACTTGTTCCTGCTAATGGTGGTTGTCAGAAAGATTTTAAGTTTGCGAAAAAGTAAACAGGTGATAAACAAAGTGTAGCCTGATTAACTGGCAAAAGAAGCCAAAGTTATCATATCTCATCATCTTTTGTTGTTAGTTTGGGCCAAATGGCAGTAACCGAACGAAGAAGGACATCTGCACCCTGTTGGGAGTCACCACTTTGCTTGGAACCACATGGGGTCTTATCTTTTTCTCATTTGGCCAACTCACCACCATTGGATTGTACGCTTTTTCCATCCTGAATTCACTCCAAGGTGCGTTATTCCCATCTCCATAACAACTTTCCATTTAAATGAGTATATTGTGTATATTTTCTCCACATTTATTCCTGCTTCTGACATTTGCATGAGTTGAATGATGATGTCATTTCACCTATTTACTTTCACTTTTTCTGTTTTCAGGTGTATTTATTCTCGTGTGGTTTGCGATGTCCGTCTTAAAGATCCGAAAAGCATCAAGTATAATCTCTGAAACCCAGAGCTCAAATAATCTTAAATCAGCAGCAGACTAGAAGCTCTCATAACGTCTCTCACACTTTTATAAACTTGTTTTTATATTTCAGCTACGCATTAAATTCACTGTTTAGTTAGTCAATAATGTATTTAATATTATATTATGATATATTTGATATATTATTTGTTCATTTGGCTGTCAGACTGTACAACAAACCTGGATGAGTCTTCTGCTGCTGGACATGTGAATTTCTCCTACGGAGATCAATAAATTATCTATCTACAGTATAACAGACCAAAAGTTTGGACACACTTTCCCATTCAATGAGTGTCCTTTCTTTTCATGACTGTTGACTGTAGATCCACACCAGGCTGTGTGAGGGCTGGCTAGATGACCTGGCCTCCACAGTCACCGGACCTGAACCCAATCCAGATGGTTTTGGGGCTGGACCACAGAGTGACGGCTAAAGGGCGAACAAGTGCAAAGCATCATGGGAACTCCTTCAGGACTGTTGAAGACCATTTCAGGTCCTCTTGAAGCTCATCAAGATGTGTGAAGCAGTAATCAGAACGAAAGGTGCTACTTTTGCTCTGATTATAAGACCTAGAATATAAGACATATTTTCACTTGTTTGAGTAAATTCATAGTTTTGATGAATTTGAAAATTGTAATTTACCAAATGGACCGTGTCATGTTGTGCGTTGTGTTCCAAATGAATTGGATGTTTCTGAATCATTGTAAGAACAGTGAAGTATGTTGTTGCTGACTCATGATACATGATTTGCATGTCTATGTGTAATAACAAACAATGAAAACTAAAATAACCATACACAATGTAGTAATATCAACTAACTTGAAAGTAGGGTTCAGTTGGACTTCTGTGCACCAGGACACTCTAGGTTGATAATCTACACTCAATACAGTTTGGACCATTGGGCTCTCAATGGCTCCAAACGCTCACACCGCGGTTTTTAGGTTTTTTATTTTTATGTGTGTATTTATTTGTTGCCAGTTTTTGTTGAACAGCACTTTGGAAACTGCTGGTTAATGAAATGTGCTGTATAAAAAAAGTGGATTGATGTGAATTGGATTAGTGCACTTGTGACCACAGTAAGAACTAGAAATAGAATCAGAATCATTTTTATTGCCACGTAAGTAACAGGAAGTCACCGACTTGGAAATTGCTTTGGCTCAGTGCAACAGTCAGAGGGAGATAATAAAAATAAAGAATAAAAAACACTTCTAAGGAATACATTTAAATTTAAAATAGAGTTACAGTTACTATTTACAATATACAAGTGCACATGGTGCACACAATGTAAGGTGGTGTAAAATATCGGAGGAACTGAGAAAAAAGCATTTATTTTTGTTCTTTATTTTAGTATTTGAATATAAAACTAACTGTTCACGTCTAACTCTGTCATGGAACCAAAAACATGTTGAAACTTCCTCTTTCCTCCTTAAAATGATTTCTTTATTACACAACATATACTTCTATATTGTTAATGTTTATTTTATAATATATGTTCAAAAGTAATATATCTATAAAGTGATAATATTTACATGAAATAAGTGATAGAGTCTAGGGCAATGTCACAAACCCACTGACTGAATCATTTCCGTCTGACGTTGAGGACCTGAAACTGCCTTTTCTGGGAAAAGCAAAAAAAAAACGCACCATGTGTAGTGTCCATGGATCCTGGATCTATTATAATAGCCATGGATCTAAAGATCGTGTTTCAGTGCCGTGTCAATGGTTATGCACGTCCGCGCGAGGAACAGCATGTGCGGCGGGAGAGGCAGAGACTAACTTTTTCCGGAGCCGCCACGGGGACACAAGACACTCGAAAACAACCAAAACAGGAGCTAAACCAGGACTAAAGTAGGGGAGGCTGCTTGTGAACATTTGGCTCCAGCCTCATTCCCCCGTGACTGTAAACAAGGCTGCTAACATGTGTTAGCCGACACAACAAATGTATTTATTTACATTTTAAAAAATAAATAAAAAACAATCAATATATATTATTATCGACTGATAATAACATCTTCAAATGTATCTGGAGAGATCGATTTAACATCGTCTTCAAAGTCATCTTCAAAATCAGCTTCAGAATCAGCTTCAGAATCAGCTTTAAAATCACCTTCAAAATTATCTGTCTTCAAAAATCATCTTCAAAATTATCTGTCTTCAAAACTCATCTTCAAAATCACCTTCAAGATCATCTTCAAAATCATCTTCAAAATCATCTTCAAAATCATCTTCAAAATCATCTTCAAAATCATTTTCAAAATTATCTATCTTCAAAATCACCTTCCAAATCATCTTCAAAATCACCTTCAAAATCATCTTCAAAATTATCTTCAAAATCATCTTCAAAATCATCTTCAAAATTATCTTCAAAATCACCTTCAAAATTATCTTCAAAATTATCTTCAAAATCATCTTCAAAATTATCTTCAAAATCACCTTCAAAATTATCTTCAAAATCATCTTCAAAATCATCTTCAAAATTATCTTCAAAATTATCTTCAAAATTATCTTCAAAATTATCTTCAAAATTATCTTCAAAATTATCTTAAATCATCTTCGAAATCACCTTCAAAATTATCTTCAAAATCATCTTCGAAATCACCTTCAGAATTATCTTCAAAATCACCTTAATTATTATCTTCAAAATCATCTTCAAAATTATCTTCAAAATCATCTTCAAAATTATCTTCAAAATCACCTTCAAAATTATCTTAACCAGCTAATGTCATTTTTACACCTCAACAACATACTGCACCCTCTGCAATTTGGGTTTCGGCCACAGTACTCAACTGAAACTGCCAATTGTTATTTTATTGAACAACTTAAGTCAGCCATTGACAAAGGCTTGATGGTTGGAGCAGTATTTTTGGACTTAAAAAAGGCATTTGACGTTCTAGACCATGATCTCCTTGTGCTCAAACTATCTGGACTAAACTTTGAAGAACCAGCACTGCAGTGGTTCAAGACATATCTGGAACAGAGACAACAGTGTGTAATAATCAATAACGAAAAGTCATCCTTTTTAACATTAACATCAGGAGTCCCGCAGGGATCAATATTGGGCCCACTTCTCTTTACACTTTACATTAATGACTTACCAAACGCATGCCCAGGAGCAGGTATCCAACTGTATGCAGACGATGCAGTTGTATATGTGAGTGGCAAAACAATTGAAACCATTACTGCACAGCTACAGCACCATCTAGAGGCTGTAGCAGAATGGTTTCAAAATTCTGGTCTTTCTTTAAATGTCAGTAAAACAAAATCTGTCTGTTTTTCATCTAGAACACGTCCCACTGAGAACCTACCCCTAACAATTGACAGGCAACACATTGAGCAAGTGAGAGAATTCAAATATTTAGGCCTAATTCTGGACTCTCACTTGCAATTTGACAGTCACATTAACAAGATTGTAAAAAGGACTAAATCAAGTGTGTATAGTTTCAGACTAATCAGAGATTGTTTACCTTTCAACGCAGCCAATATCTTTCTACACGCCATGATTTTTTCTCAGATAAGTTACTGTATCACCTGCTGGTCCCAGGCCACAGCCTCTTCCATCAAACCAGTAAGAATGCTCTACAACAGAGCCATAAAAATACTGGACAAAAAGCCAATAAGAACACACCATTGCCAGGTGTTGCAGAGACTACATTTTCTTAGTTTTGATAATTTTATTAAATTTTGTAATTGTAAATTATTGTACAAATGTTTGCACAGTCGAGCCCCTGCTGTCCTGAGTGCTCTCTTAGTTCCTCTGAGATCCGTCACACGGGGCTCCTCTAACGGGAATGTGAAAGTGCCCCTCAGGAGAACCACATTCGGACAGTCGGTCTTCTCGGTCCAGGGGGCAAAGCTCTGGAACTCTTTAAGCCCCCAGCTAAAACTGAACTCTGACTGGGCTGGTTTTAAACATGAACTAAAGCGATTTTTTAAAACAAACCAGGTGTGTGAGCATCAATGAGTTGGAGAACATCTGCTTTTATATAATGTGAATTTTATAATGTATAATGTGTTTTAATTGTGTTAAAAGCCCTCCTAGGGACGGACATTGCAAACTAGCCTTGGCTATAAATGTTGTAGTGTTTCACATGTTGATTGTGTTCACTTGTCCCTATCAAATAAATCAATAAATAAAATCTTCAAAATCATCTTCAAAATTATCATCAAAATCATCTTCAAAATCACCTTCAAAATTATCTATCTTCAAAATCACCTTCAAAATTATCTTCAAAATAATCTTCAAAATCATCTTCAAAATCATCTTCAAAATCACCTTCAAAATCACCTTCAAAATTATCTTCAAAATCATCTTCAAAATTATCTTCAAAATCATCTTCGAATGCTTCCGGTGATGGTAGCGTGCTGACTGTGAGACGCTCCCCTCCACACCCTTTCTAATGCATTCGTAAATAGGCCACCTTACACTCTTCCATTAACGAGAAACATACGTCTCAATGCCAAAACGACAAGTTAAGGAACCTGCAGTTACTCGTTCAAAAACTCAGCAATTAAAAATCACGGGTTTCAGAGCAGCTGCGGGTAAGGACAACGGGAAATGCCAAATTGCAAGGTGCAATGCCTCCGCCACAAATTGAAAGTGCTGAGAAAGATAATGTAACGGAGAGTGCTATCTTGAAAGCTTTAAGAGATCTTAAAGAGGATTTCACAAACTTCTCTCCTAAACTTGAGAGAATCCAAGTCACGGTGGACGACATTCGTAACGAGCTGGGACAATGCAGTGAACGCATCACACAGGCTCAGTGCCGAATATCAACAGTGGAGGATGAGGTGACAGTGCTCAGGGAAAAAGTTTCCACCCTGGAGCGCCACAATAAAACACTGTCAGACGTAGTTACGGATCTAGAGGCGAGATCACGCCGCTCCAATTTGAGATTAGTGGGCCTCCCCGAGGGCGCAGAAGGACCTGATCAGTGTTCTTTTTTGGAGAAGTGGATTCCGGAGACGCTGCGG